TGCTTGGAAAAAGCCATGCTGTGGCAGGCATCCCACGTATGAAGTAGAGGAAGATGGGCATGGATGTTAGCTCAGGGCCAGTCTTCCTCAGCAAAAAGAGGAGGATTGGCAGTAGTTAGCTCAGGGCTAATCTTCCTAAAAAAAAAAAAAAAGGTTCTCAAGTTGTTCCTACCTTCTAGGATTGTATGAATTCAGACAGAGGACACCTGTAAAGTGCCTGTCCCCAGGGCTAGCACCTGATACTGGGGTCAGCTGGCTCCCTGCTCGCAGCAGCCCCTGATGGGATTCGACCTCAGCCCCTTCCCGGGAGGTGCCTCCTCCTCCTGCTTCATCCCTGCGCCCCACACAGATGCTGGCCCAGCCCCTTGGCCCCGTGCACAGCGTGCCTCTGTCCTGGGCCTGCCCCGTGCGTGAGGTATTTACTGCTGGGTTGGCCCAGACTGTGAGTTTCTGGGTGGTGGCCTGGCAGGAGCAGTCCACCAGCCACTTCCCAGGCGGATGAAGATGACCCCTGGCTTCTCTGGTGACTGGGTTGGGGCCTACTGAAGGCTCTCGGAGGAGCCCCCCTTCTCTGCCACCTCAGTTCCTGCAGCTGCCGGGAGGTAAGTGAGGGGAAGGCAGGCGCCTCCTCCTGGCTCCAAAGAGTATGTATGGGGGGCATCTTTGTGTGCAGTCCCTCTCTGGGCCTCTGTTTTCCTGTCCACACCCTGGCACCTTTGTCTCCTCGTGGGGGACCTGCCTACTTCCTCGTGGGGACAGATGGGGAGGCAGATGAGCCTCAGCCTGGAGGTTTCTTAAGGGGCTCCTCCTCCAGAAGGATCTTGGAGTCAGGCCAGGAACCTACACTCAAAGCTCATCTGGCCAGGTGAGGAAAGGATGTGGGTTCTTCTGGGTACTGGTGGGCACCCGTGGCCAGCCTGGCCACTCCAGCCTTTGCCTGTGAAGAGCCAGGCACGTCCCCGTTCCAGACCCAGTGCCCAGGTCTTGGAATGTGTGCTTGCAGCAGCCTCCGTACGCACGCAGGTCCTTGCCTGCTGGGAATCCTCCCTTCCAGCGGCCGCTCCCTCGGGCTCCTCTGCCCAGAGGGAGACAGGCTGGAGTCGCCAGGCCTGGCTCCCACCCCAGCTGTCTAGGACCCAATGGGGAGTCTTGGGCAAGTCCTGCCGTTCTAGGGGTCTTGGTTTCAATCTCTAAACTGGGAGCCGGGGTGGCAGGTGAGGAGTTCTCTGAGGGGTCTCTCCAAGACCCTGTGGAAGGGAAAGATCCTGACAGTGTGACGATTGCTACAGGGTAAGAACAGGGGGGTGGGGGGGGGGGGTCACACCAGGTGCCTGCCCTGGGACAGGAAGGGCTGAAGCAGAGGCCATCTGCCCCAGACCACAGGGAGGGCCTGGTGGGGAGGATTTGCTCCAGGCCACCTCAGGGAGTGGCACCAGGATCAGCCGCAGCCACATCCTTGAAGGTGAAGGTGCGGGTGTGGGTGTGGGGCAGGCCTGGGGCTCTGAGCAGACTGGCTTGTGGTTATTTATCAGCCAGCGCTGGGGGAATCTCAGCTCCGGCCCCTGAGTATCCTCTCGGCCTCATTTTCTCCCTCTGGAAAGTGAGGTAACAGTAGTACCCATATCATAGGTTATTTTAAGGACTCGATGAGGTACGTTTGCAAAGTGCTTAGCACAGGAAAAAGCACTGGGCACACGGGAGCTGTTGTTTCTCATATCATTATTATTACTGACGTGGTGGTTACTGTTTTGGGCCCAGGAAAGGGAAGCCAGCCCTAAAGCAGGGCCTCCTGGAGTGAGCCTGGGCCTGGAGACACAGCAGGCCTGAGGGGGTACCTCCAGGTCCAGATTTGGACCCTGAGCTGGACTGTCACACCCTCCCTTTTTTTTTTTAAGTACATGCAATGTTAGTTTCAGGCATATGACATAGTGGTTCTGTACTTCCCTGCATTGCCGCACCCTCTTATTCCTGGAGGCCAGGTCGTTGACCTGGGGCAGGAAGAAGGGCTGGGGATAAGATGCCTCCACCCCTGGGGCATCCTCCAACTTGCTTAGTGACCTCGGGCAAGGGGCTCCCCTTCTCTGAGCCCCCAGAAGTGGAGTTAATCAGGCTTCCTGCCCGACTGCCCTGCCCCAGCTCAGTGGTTTCCGCCCTGCGCGGGGTCAGGCTCCTAGCAGGGCCGGGGTGGGGCTGGGGCTGAGGCTCAGGAAGCAGATGGAGGTAGACACCAGAGGGGCAGGAAGCCTCCTCATCCACTTGTGGCCCTCCCCATTCCCTCCCAGTATCCCCCACTGCCTAGCGGGCTGTGTCTCTACAGCCTGGAGGCCAGACCCTGGGGGCCTGCTGCCTTTTGTTTTAATTAAAAACAAAGTGGTATTAACTTACCAAATCAGTCGAGTGCAAACAACCTGGAAGTTTATAAGCAAAAAATGAAGGCAGCACCCACCGCTCCGCCCCACATCCCCTCTCCAAGGGAAACTACCACTGGTAATCCCATGTGGATTCTTCCAGACAGGTTTTGTGTGTGTTTACAAACATAGAGGCATAGTTGTATTTAAGAAAGGAATCATGCTATATATGCAGCTCCTTTTTTTTATAAATTAAAAATAAGTGGTTTTGTTTGTTTGTTTGTTTTTGCTGAGGAAGATTCACCTGAGCTAACATCTGTGCCAATCTTCCTTATTTTGTATGTGGGTCGCTGCCACAGCGTGGCCACTGACGAGTGGTGTAGGTCCATGCCTGGGAACCAAACCTGGGCCGCCGAAGTGGAACACTCTGAACTCAAACACTAGGCCACAGGACTGGGCCCCCTTTTTCTTTTTTTTTTTTTTTGGTGAGGAAGATTGGCCCTGAACTAACATCTTGTGCCAATCTTCCTCTTTGTGCTAAGGAAGATAGGCCCTGAGTTCACATCTGTGCCTATCTTCCTCTATTTTGTATGTGGGACGCTGCCACAGCCTGGCTTGATGAGCAGTGTGTAGGTCCGTGCCTGGGATCTGAACCTGTGAACCCCAGGCTGCCAAAGTGGAGCATGTGAACTTAATCACTACGCCACTGGGCCGGGCCCCAAAATAAGTTTTTAAATATAAAAACATTATGTGACCATTATCCTAAAATTTTTGGAAAATATAGTTAAGCTAAAAGTAAAGAAACAGCCCATCATCTCACCATTCTGGTAATAAACACTATTAACACTTTAATCACCATAACAAGCAAAAGATATCTCCTTACTTTCATCTGATTTATTTTTCCTCTTTTTTTCACTTTTCTTTTTAAATACTGTGATACGCACAAATGACAGCATGCATCCTTCTTGTAAGTTAGAAGATATAATAATATAATGAACCTGTTGAACCTGTGTTGCACTTAAAGAGCAGACCATTACTTGAACAGCACAGCCCCGCATTCCTCTCCTTTCCTACGTCCCTGCATCCCCCACGGGGGGGAACTGTGTTCTTGACTTTTTTTTTTTTTTGAGAAAGATTAGCTCTGAGCTAACATCTGCTGCCAATCCTCCTCTTTTTTGCTGAGGAAGCCTGGCCCTGAGCTCACATCCATGCCCATCTTCCTCTACTTTATATGTGGGATGCCTACCACAGCATGGCGTGACAAGCGGTGCCATGTCCCCACCCAGGATCCAGGCCAGCAAACCCTGGGCCGCCGAGAAGGAGAATGTACACACTTAACTGCTGTGCCACCGGGTGGCCCCTGTTCTTGAGTTTTGCTTTTAAAACTTTAATCACTCTGATAGGCAAAAGCTGTCTCCCATCCCCAGCTATGAGAGGTGATCTGCCGGCCACTGTAGGCTTAAACAATGTATTGTATAGTTTCGTTTGTCTTCCAAGACTTGTCTTTTTCACCCCTCATATCTCTGAGATCCATCCATATAATTGTAGCTCATTCATTTTTCCTTGCTATATAATATTCCACATGGTGACCAGACCAAAATATAAAAAAATTCCATTCTCCTGTGGATGGATAGATGGGCTGTTCCCAGTTTTGTATTGTTTCAAGCAATGCTGCTCTGAACTTTGTTGTGTACATGTGCAAGAATTTCTCCAGGGTATACACCCAGGAGTGGAATGCAAATTTTTATAGCATGTTTTCCAAAGTGATTATAGAGATGCAGTTCTCTAACTCTCTTTCTCCACTTAAATATCCTCCACTTAAACATCTCTTCCTGTCAGTGCATCTTGATCCGCATCGTGCATTTCCACAGGGCTGTGCATTTGTTTATTTAACCAGGCCGGTATCATGGCTACCTAAGTTATTTTTCACCATGGCATAAAATGATGCAATGAATACCCTGATACTTAGAAGTAACATAGCAATTTTAATCCTTACAACACACTTTGAGGTGGTGGTTCTATTTTCCAGAGGCAGGGGAAAGGTAAGTAATCGCACAGCTAGTAGATGGCAGAGCTGGACTTGAATCCAAAGGTGGATCCCTGAGTTCACCCAGGGTGACTACTGGGTACCGGGCTCTGGAGGCCCGGGGTAGGGGAGCCAGGGAGAAACTCAACAAGCGCAGGGTGCCCCGGGACTCAGTTTCCCCATCCCGGTCGTGGTGTCAATAACGCGAGATAGAAGTGGGCCTGACCCAGAGGACTCCAGAAGCTGTTGTCAGTGTCGCTGTCCCTGTGGGCTGCCCAGAGGGGTCAGCGAGGCGCTCACGTGGCCCGGCCCGGGGTCGCCTGCCCCTCACCCTTCCCCGCCCCCGGCGCCGCCCCTGGGCGGGGCCACCCGCGGCCCCTCGAGGCTCCGCCTGCTTCCCAGGCCCGAGCGGCGAGCGGCGGCGCTAGGACCCGGCGGCCGGGCTGCAGCGGGCCTGGGCGGCCGGAGGAGCGCGGACCCCGGCCCTCGGCTCCCGGCGCCATGTGAGGGGCTCGGGGGCCGCGGGGGCCGGCGCTCCCCGGGGGAGGTGAGCGGGCGCGGCGCGGGGCGGGCGGCGGGAGGGGGCGCTGCCTGTGCCGGCGGGAGGGGGGGCCGTGGGGATAAGGATCGATGCGGGGGCCCCGGGGGCTCCCCTAGACCTACTCTCTCTTGGCAACCGCGCCCCGAGATCGCGGTCCCTGCGCCCAAGGGCTGTCGCGGGTTCGCGGGGCCTCCTGCCGCTGACTACCCCATTAGAGCTCGGGGTCCCTGCCACCCTCCTGCCTCCCATCTCTTCCTAGCTGGGGCTAGGGCTCCGGACCCCCCGGAGTGCGGGAGTTTGGGAGGGAACAGCAAAGGGGGGCGCAGAGGGTGAGTCGCCCCCCTAGGTGGATCCACTGGCTTGGCGCCCCCCATCTCGGAATTAGGAGTCCCCCTCCCCCTTTTCCCCGGAGCCCTCCTCCCACGCGGATCGTGGGGGCGTCCCGACCCTGCGGGAGGACTCCCCGGGTGGGGAGAGGCGAAGCCCGCACACAGAGGGCAGGGTGTGGCCCCCACCTCTAGCCTACGGACTCAGGCGTCCTGCGGGGCCCGCGCGGCCCGCCTCGGGGCTGAGTCCACGCTCCCGGCCCGGCGCTCCGGGCTGCCGCCTCCCCAGCCTGAGCAAGTCGCTTCCCAACAGGCCTGCGCCCGGGTGTGGTGCCGAGCCAGGTCCTGGGCGCACTGGGTGGCCCCTGGCCCGTTCCAGCCCTGGGTTGCTCTCTGTAAACAAGCAAGGGTCCCCAGCAGGCTCTGGGCTGCCCTGCAAGGCGCTTTGCCTTTCTGGACCTCGGTCTCCTTATCTGTGAAATGGGGAATCAGAGCCCTTATCATGCAGCGTTGCCAGGAGGATTCAGTGAGTGGGTGATGGGTAGCCCGGCTCCCTGCATGCGTTCCTTCGTGTTAGAGGGAAGTGGCTGGGCTGGGGGTCAGAGAAGGGGGGGAGTGTGTCACTGGCAAACTCGTGGTGAGGCTGGCCTTGAACGGTTGAACAATGGACAACCCCAAGACTAACAGCTGCTGGCACTGACCGAGCACTTGCAAGCCCTGTGCTTCCCTTGCCACATCTGCTCGAATCCTTGCAACAACGCTGTGAGTCACCTACTCTTATTATTCCCATTTCACAGATGAGGAAACTGAGGCTCAGAGAGGTCCCATGGCTTGCCCGAGGCCCCTCAGCCAGTAAGTGGTGGAACCGGGATACGCAGTCGCACTTGAGATGCTGTACTGACCATGGCCTTCTCAGAGCAGGATTGTGACAGGGCTGACCAGGGGGATGGTGGTCCTGGCTGAGGGCACTGCTCAGGCAAAGGTGGGGAATGAGGGGGTGGGCCTGGGGACCGGCGTGCTCTAGTGTGTCTGGAGCATGGAGCATCCCTCAAGACAGGGGGAGCTCACCTCAGGGAGGCGGCTGGACCCCTGAGGGCCTGGAATGCCGGTAGTGTCAGGGCTGATGAGGCGACCCTGGGATTCTGGACTCCTGTCTTTTGCCCTGACGGGCTGTGAGTTCAAGGACAAGCCACTCTTCCCTTCTGATGAGCCTCAGTTTCCTGATCTGTACCGCGGGGACTGTCCCAGGGCCTTCCTGACCATTGGCCCGGGAGAAATCCGAAACCAGGCTTGGGAGGAGGGAGGGGGACTCCCGGGGAGAGGGGGCGGGCTTTGGTAGTGGGCGGAGTCAGGACGTGGCCAATCAGGAGCGGCGTGTTGGGGGGAGCCTCCTTCGGCGTGAGATTCTTTGGCTATTCCTGGTGGCAGTGTAGGGAGTAAACCGCGGCTGGGTCAGGGGGCGGAGATAGTGGCGGGAGCTGGGAGGCCCCTGGACGGGAGGACGAAGCTGGGGATCCTGAGGCCCCGGTTTCTCCCTCTGCACACTCTCCCTCCCTTAATGTCTTCTGTCCTTGAGTCTGCTGGAGGTGGCTGGACACGTACTTATTTCCTTTTGACAGGTGGGGAAATTGAGATCTGGAGAGGAGTGAGGTCCTGCGAGGATGGGGGGTCGGTTGGGGAGTGTGGAGCAGAGCTGGGCTTGTCCCCTCACGGCCCGGGCCCAGCCTCCTCACCCACCCTTTGAGGGTGGGGCTGTGGCTGTAGCCACTTGACAGATGAGTCTGTGCCCTTAACCCCCAAGATCTTACTCGTTATTAATTAAGGAAGTCATTCATCGGTCCTCCTGCACCCGTGCACGTGGCTCTGGAGGCACAGCAGAGAATGTGAGTGAGGACGTGTGCCGGCTGCGTCCTCAGAGAGCTCTCAGCCTGGCGAGGGGTGACCCGCAGGGGAAGTTCCCGGCGCCCCCAGGCTTGGAGGATGAGTGGGCGTGAGCAGGGTGCGGGAGGGCTGGGATTCCAGACAGAGAACATAGTTTATGCAAGACCTGGAAGGGTGCAAGTACAGAGGAGTTTTGGGACCCACCAGGATGTTGCTTTTTTCTGAGGCCATGGGGACTAAGGCAAGGTTTAGAATAGGGGTGTGAATGAGGCTTCTGCGGGGTGGGGAGCAGGTCCCCCAGCAGAGGAGCTTTAGGCCTGCCAGCTGCCTGGGGAGCCAGGGTGTGAGGAGGCCCCTGCTCAGGGAGTAGAGTGGGAGAGAGCGGGGGGCAGAGAGGCAGGCAGGGCTCTGCCACCCCTTGACTGTGTGACCTCAGGCATCTTCCTGCCCTTTCTGGGCATCAGTGTCTCCATCTGCAAAATGGATACAGCCCTGAGCCCTGAAGTCATGGGTGGGTAGGAGAGTTGGCGCGGGTGGGGAGGGTGTAGCATTTGACCAGCTGGACCTAGGGGAGGGCACCCAGGCCATAACCCTTTCTGTGGCTTGCAGGTGTGACCCCACGTCTCTGCCCCCTGGGCCACCTGCAGGACGCTGGCCCCTGCCCCTCAGTAGACACCAGAAAGAGATGAGTAGCAACAGAGTAAGTCTCCCTTCATTTCTTGTCCCCATCTCAGCCTCTTACTGCCGTCGGTGAAATGGGCTCCTTTGGACCTGCCTCAGATCCAGGCCACCATGAGGCTCTCTTCCCCCCCAAGACACAGCTGGTGCCTGGGAGGCCCTGGTTTGAGCCCTGCGGTGGCCACTGATCTCTGTGGCTTTGGGCAGGCTCCTGCCTTTCTCTGGGCCGAGGTGCAGCTCTGTCCTCCTGGCTTGACTGGTCCATCTGTGGCGAAGGTTTGCCCAAGAAGGTGACTGTGGAGTGCTGTGCAGGGGCTGGGGGTTAGGGAGGGGGAAGGGAAGGCTGGGGGAGGGGACAGTGGTCAGAGTCAAAGATGACAGAATGTTGTGAGTGTCACTCTGAGGGTGTCAGGATTCCCCACCATCCATTCATTCATGTTTCCCTGAGCACCTACTGTGTGCCTGGGCCTGCCCACCCCTTTCCTGGGATCCACTGCACCACAGGCTTGGCAGTGCCTGAGGGTTGGGATGGGGTGATGTGGGTGTATCAGTCTGGGTCCAATTAGAAAAGAGAAACCACACATATAATTTGAACGGGAGAGTTTAATGTAAAGAATTATTAACTATAACTGGGCATCGGAGTGTTGAGGGATTGGAACTCTAAGGAACACAGGAATAGCAGGTGTAAGGAGCAGCCACCACCCCTGGGCTGAGATCCAGGCCTTGCTGGAGAGGGCACAGCTGTGGCCCACTGGATGGAGAGAACTCACTGGTGCTGTGCGGTGGGAGATGTCATAAATCCACCCTCCAGGCTACAGAGAGGGCTCTTCACAGCAGGTGACTCCTAGGAGGCACGCCAAGCTCAATACAGAACTGCTCCATGGGGTGGACGCTTGTGGTCCAGTGGGTGTTGCAGGTGGTTGAGTGTGCTGCATGAGCTGAACCCTGGAGCAGTTGTGATCACAGCAGGAGCCAGAGGCACTCTGCTCTCAGACTCCTGAAGGCAGGTGCTGGCCACTGGGCACTGGGGCAGAGCAGGTGCTGGAGAAGCCATGTGCATTGTAGGAGCAAGTGCACCGGAACCAGGTGCAAAGTCGCCAGAACCAGGAAGCCAACACCTTTCCTCCTGCACTGTCTCTCCAGTGCCCTCTACTGACAAAGCTTAATATGCAGTTAGATGACAAGGAAAGACATGTAAAGGGCCCAGATCCGTTTTCAGAGAGCAGGCAAAAAGGGTGAACTTGGAGGGGCTGGCCCAGTGGCACAGCAGTTAAGTTCACACATTCCACTTCGGCGGGCTGGGGTTCGCTGGTTCGGATCCTAGGTGCAGACCTAAGCACCGCTTGTCAAGCCATGCTGTGGCAGGCATCCCACGTATAAAGTAGAGGAAGATGGGCATGGATGTTAGCTCAGGGCCAATCTTCCTCAGCAAAAAGAGGAGGATTGGTGGCAGATGTTAGCTCAGGGCTAATCTTCCTTAAGAAAAGGGTTGAACTTGGAGCTGAGAAGCAACACATCGCTAACCAGCACAGGGGACTCCACACAAGGAGCCAGGACACCCAGGTGTCACCCAGCCTTGCTGACTCTGAGCAAATAAATGCCAGTGGACACTTTGGATATCACTTGCCTGCCCCGTCAGTGACGTGTTGGTGCACCGACTACCCAGGCAGCCTGATTCCAGACCAGCTCCACCCCCTCTAGGTTTAAATGAATGATAAACATTTATGGAGATTTACTGTTTGGGGAAGACCTGGACTCTCTTGTTTGAATGACCCACCCGTCTCTAAGCATCCTTCCAGCTGCAGCCAGAGAGGAGAAGGTGCTGGGAGCTGGGATGCTGTGGGGAGCAAGGCTGACTGGGTCCCAGTCCTGAGAGCTCACGGTCTGATTGGGGCCCGGGGGTGGTTTGAATGCAGTGTGATAAGGGTGCTCAGGGGGCTGGAGGAGGCCTTGCTGGAGGAGGCGGTGCCGAACTGGTCTGGAATGAAGAGCAGGAGTTAGCTGGGTGTGAGAGGCAGGAGGGAGGGGCAGTGCCGCGCCTGCAGGTGGCCGGCCCTCACCAGCCTCTCCCCTCTCCAGGAGCAGCGGTCAGCAGTGTTCGTGATCCTCTTTGCCCTCATCACCATCCTCATCCTCTACAGCTCCAACAGTGCCAATGAGGTCTTCCACTATGGCTCCCTGCGGGGCCGCACCCGCCGGCCCATCGACTTTAAGAAGTGGAGCATCACCGAAGGCTATGTCCCCCTTCTTGGCAACAAGGTAGGGCGGCCACTTTGGGGAGCTCCCTGGGAGCCACCTGGTGACTAGTCTTCCCCCTTGCCCACCCCTCGGCCCCCTCCTCCTCCTTCTCTCCACTCTCTCCGTCCACGCTAACGGAAAGGGTGGACTCCAGGAGTCCAGTGCCTTCAGCCCCTTGTTTGCCGTGTGACCTTGGACAAGTGCCCTGCCCCTCGCTGGGCCTCAGTCCTCTCCAAGGCCCCACCTTTAGTGCTGATATCCTTCCATCTCCTGAGTCAGAATCCCTTTGGAAAGGTGTGCCTGGTTTTCACTGACCTCTCTCTCTGCTGGAGAGTCCACACAGAGTTGGGGAGCAGGACACTGACATACTTGACAACACAAAAACAGTAATATTAGTGACTGCTGTTTGTCAAGTGTCTGCTGTGTGCTGGGCACTGTGATCAGCACTAATCCTCAGACCAACCCTGTGAGGTCAGCACTGTTATCTCCCTTGAAGAGATGGGGAAACCGCGGCTCAGAGAGATGAAGTCACTCGTCCAAGGCGACACAGCAAGGGAGGGGAAGAGCAGAGTATTGCCCTACCCCTGGTGAGTTGCAGCTGTGTAGACAGGCCAAAAGTCATTCCTGGGGCTTCTGTTTGCCTTGGGTTGCCACAAAACTCAGATTGTCTTTCTGGAGTTCACCCAGAGAGAAAATTATTGGCATGGACTCCATCTTCCAGGAGGAGGAGGTCTCCCCGAGGCCCTGCCTCCCTCTCTCTCCTCCCTCACTAACCCTTCTACGTCTCTGAAGGTCTTAGCATACACAGTGTGTAGAGCCTTGGGCTCCGGACACACCCTCGCTGGGAAAGGACCCATTGGCAGGTGTTCAGAGACAGAGCAACACTCAACTGACACTTTCTCTACCCTAAGAACCCTTGAAAGAAATGAAAAAGGTGGAACGGGGGAGAAAGTGGAGCAGCGTGAGTGTGGGGCATGCAGAAGGGATGGGGCGGAGCTTGGCTTGTAGCCTTTTGCAGCCTGATGGGGAGGCCAGGAAACTGGAGCTCCGCAGAACTGGAAAGGCCATCAGTTGGGGTACATGGGACAGGTTGCTGCATCTTAAGAGTAGGTTGCTTTGCTCAGGGAAGGCTGCCTGCAGGAGGTGGCACCTGAGCTTAGCCTTGAATAGTGAACAGGAATTCCATGAGCAGAAAATAGGCCCCAGAGAACATGTGGCTCCAACTGGCTCATTTCCTCAGTGGGGAAACAGAGGCACAGGGCAGCCTCCACAACCTTTCCTTACTGACAAGGTGGTTTCTTGTTTGTGAGTGACACAGAAATGTTATGGGTGCACTGGGGAGGATGTCCTCTTTGAGAGTTGAGGTCCCTCCTCTTTGGGGAGCTAGGCTGAGGCTGGGGCTCTGTGGTCCTACAGAGCTGGGTTCAAATCCGGGTCCTGTCCTCCTCTGCTGTGTGACCTCGGGCACATCCTGTATGACTGTCCTGTTCCCCGCTCCTTACCTCTGCCCCAGCAGAGCGGCCTTCTTTAGCTTCTCAGCACGCCAGGGTCATTCCCACTTTGGAGCCTCTGGGCTTGCTGTGCCTCCTGCCTCGAATGCTTTCCCTCTGAAGCTACTTTTCCTCCTCAGGTCTCAGCTGGGAGAGGCCTCCCCAGACGACCTTTCTAGAGGAGCCCCCGTTCCTGTCACTCTTCATCCTCTGCCCCTATTTTATTTTCTTCCTAGCACGTTTTACTTACCACCTGGCATTTTTTTTTTAAAGATTTTATTTTTTCCTTTTTCTCCCCTGGTACACAGTTGTATATTCTTCGTTGTGGGTCCTTCTAGTTGTGGCATGTGGGACGCTGCCTCAGCGTGGTTTGATGAGCAGTGCCATGTCCGCGCCCAGGATTCGAACCAACAAAACACTGGGCCGCCTGTAGCGGAGTGTGCGAACTTAACCACTCAGCCACGGGGCCGGCCCCACCACCTGGCATTTTTTAATGTTTTACTTGCTCACTGTGTGTCTCCCCGACCGGGAGCTTCTTGAAGGCAGGAGCAGGACCTCTTGCTCATTGCCCTGTCCCCAGGACTGGGTCACTAGCCAGCTTGCTGTAAATATTTGTTGGATGTTGAGTGAATGGGCTTCTGTCTCCCTGTCTTTAAAATGGGTAATAATTCCTGCCTCCTGGAGGCCTGGATGTATGGAACATAGGGCCTGGTTCCAAGTGGTCATGACAGTGTTGACTTTTCTTGCCCCCTCAGACGCTGCCCTCCCGGTGCCGCCAGTGTGTGATTGTCACCAGCTCCAGCCACCTGCTGGGCACCAAGCTGGGCCCTGAGATCGAGCGGGCTGAGTGCACAATCCGCATGAACGATGCCCCCACCACGGGCTACTCAGCCGATGTGGGCAACAAGACCACCTTCCGCGTGGTGGCCCATTCCAGCGTGTTCCGTGTGCTGCGAAGGCCCCAGGAGTTTGTCAACCGGACCCCCGAAACCGTGTTCATCTTCTGGGGCCCCCCGGACAGGATGCGGAAGCCCCAGGGCAGCCTCGTGCGTGTCATCCAGCGAGCAGGCCTGGCGTTCCCCAACCTGGAGGCCTATGCCGTCTCTCCCAGCCGCATGCGCCAATTTGACGACCTCTTCCGGGGTGAGACGGGCAAGGACAGGTACCAGCCTCCTGCCTGCCTCCTCTGGCCAGCCCTGTGCTCCCTTCAGCATGATCCTTCCAGTGGGCCTGTTGCTCCCAGCATACACTGCTCTGAGGGTGTGGTCATTTCTTGCCACCCGCTGGTCAGGTTTCCTGGGGGAGTTCTTTTCATATCCATCTCTTAGCCTGAGTCATTTCCAACAGCTCTGTATGGCTTGTCTCCCCAGGAGGGTTTCCTCCAAGCATACATTGCTCTGAAGGCACAAAGGCTCCCAGCATGCTCTGCTCTAAGCATCTTTCTAGGAGATGCTAGAAAGATCTAGCATCACTCCTAGCATCTTTCTAGCAGAACTCCCCATAGCATGCCTCATGGAAGGTCTTGACTTTTTCCGCACGTCTTGTTTTAAGCACACAGTTGCTCCCAGCATGCTCTATTCTAAGGATACATCATTCCCAGCATGCCTTGCTCTGACTCATCTCCCTAGAAAAGCTAGGCCAGTGCTGTCCGATATAAATATAATGTGAGCCCCAAATGTAATTTAAATTTTTATAATAGCCACATTAAAAAAGTAAAAAGGGGGGCCAGCCCAGTCGCACGGCGGTTAAGTGTGCATGTTCTGCTTTGGTGGCCCAGGGTTCGTCGGTTCGGATCCCAGGTGCGGACATGGCACCGCTTGGCAAGCCATGCTGTGGTAGGCGTCCCACATTTAAAGTAGAGGAAGAAGGGCACAGATGTGAGCTCAGGGCCAGTTTTCCTCAGCAAAAAGAGGAGGATTGGCAGCAGATGTTAGCTCAGGTCTAATCTTCCTCAAAAAAAAAAAAAGTAAAAAGAAATAAGGTAAAATTAATTTTAATATATTTCATTTAACCCAGTATGTCCAACATATAGATCCTGTACATATTTGATTTGATTTATACCTAAATATTTAAAAATTTTTGGAGCTATTGTAAATGATATTTAACACATTTTTTGGGGGGTTCCCAATTATTCATTGCTAGTATATAGAAATATGATTGACTTTTGTGTGTTGACCTTATATCCTGTAATCTTGCTAAACTTACTTATTGGTGCTAGGAGATTTTTGTAGATTCTTTGGGATTTTCTGTCCAGATGATCATGTTGTAAGGACATGCAAATAAGAACAGTTTTATTTCTTCCTTTCCAATGTGTAAGCCTCTTATTTCTTTTTCTTGTGTTATTGCACTGGCTGGGACTTTCAATACAACGTTGAATTGTATTGGAAGTGGTGAGAGTAGACGTCCTTGCCTTGGTTCTAGTCTTTTGGGAAAGCATTCAGTCTTTCATCCTTGAATACGATGTTAGCTGTAGGTTTATGTAGCTGCTCCTTATCAGGTTGAGAAAGTTCCCTTCTCTGACTAGTTTGCTAGCAGTTTTTATCATTACTAGATATTGAATTTTATCAAATGTCTTTCTGTATCAATTGATATCATGTGGTTTGTCTTAAGACTGTTGATATGGTGGATTATATTGATTGATTCTTGAATGTTGAATCAGCCTTCATTTCTGGAATTACCTCTGCTTGGTTGTGGTGTATCATTCTTTTTATATATGGCTGGATATGATCTGTTAATATTTTGTTGAGATTTTTGTATCTGTGTTCATGAGAGCTATTGGTCTGTAGTTTATTTTGTATTGTCTTTGCCTGGTTTTGGTATCGGGGTAATGCTGGCCTCAGAAAATGAATTGGGAAATGGTTCTTCTATTTTCTAGAAGAGATTGTAAAGAATTGGTGTTATTTCTTCTTTAAATGTTTGGTAGAATTCGCCAGTGAAACTATTTGGGCCTGCAGTGTTCTTTCTCAGAAGGTTTTAAACTTTGAATTCAATTTCTTTAATAGTTATAGGTTATCTGTTATCATCTTGGGTAGTTTTGGTAGTTTGTAGTTTTTAAGGAATTGGCCCCTTTCATCTAAGTTGTCAAATTCACGTATGTAGTTTTTTATGGTTTTCTTATTATTCTTTTAATGTCTACAAGGTCTGTGATAGTATCCTCTCTTTTATTATTATTATTTTTTTTAAGATTTTATTTTTCCTTTTTCTCCCCAAAGCCCCCTGGTACACGGTTGTATATTTTTAGTTGTGAGTCCTTCTAGTTGTGGCATGTGAGACGCCGCCTCAGCATGGCCTGATGAGCGGTGCCATGTCCGTGCCCAGGATCCGAACCAGTGAAACCCTGGGCCACTGAAGCAGAGCGTGCGAACTCAACCACTCGGCCACGGGGCCAGCCCCTCTTTTATTCTTGATATTGGTAACTTGTGTCTTGTCTCACTTCTTCTTTGTCAACCTTATGAGACGTTTATTCTCTTTTAAACTTTTCAAAGAACCACCTTCAATCAAATATATCCAAAATATTTTCAGTTCCACATGTAATCAGTATCAAAAATGATCAGTGGCATAGTCTACGTTCTTTTCTTCATACTCTCTAAGAAGTCCAGTGTGTATTTGACAGATGGCACGTCTCAATTGCGTGTCAAGTGCTCCCACGCCCACATGTGGCTAGTGGGTGCTGTAGAGGGAAGTGCAGCTCTAGGTTCTCGGCTAGAACTTCCTTCCATGCCTTTCATACTTCCTGGCTACTTCTGAACCTGTAGTCACTCCCAGCATGACCTTCTCTAATTAGTCTCCCCTTAAGAGTTTGCTCCTAGCGTGGGCACAGCTGTTTCCAGCATGCTCTGTGGTTATGGTCACTCCCAGCCTGCCCAAGTGTGACCAGTCCCTCCAGGAGTTTATCCCCAGCATGCCCCGTTCCTCTTTCTCTCAAAGGAACTCTCTCCACGCCCTTCAGCTCTGCCCAGACAGGCCCTCTGCCAGCATGCCGGTGCTGCCACCGTTGGGCTGGGCTGGGGGTACTGCAGTAGGGGAAGTGCCCCAACGGGTGAGTGGGAGGAGTTCTGGGAAACTCTGTGGGGTTGACCATTCCTCCCTGCCTGCCCCCTCATCATGACCCCTCTCTGCCCCCAGGGAGAAGTCCCATTCGTGGCTGAGCACAGGCTGGTTCACCATGGTGATTGCGGTGGAGTTGTGTGACCACGTGCACGTCTATGGCATGATCCCCCCTGACTACTGCAGGTGAGCCCCCCCCAGGACAATGCCCAGTCGCTGGCCGCACGGTGGAGCTGGGGGCCTGGAAACCTTGGCCAGAGTGCCTTTGAGGTCCTCTGTTTCATGGGATTCGCACTGCTCTGCAGGGAGCTAGGCTCCTTGGAGCTACCGCAGGGGCCCCCACCCCAAGCTCAGAGGGGTCCAGAGTTTGTAGATTAATAATAGCTGTGATTATTATCGCTATATGAAAAGCCCACGAGGTGACGGCAGTTTTTTACTGAGTGCTGACCATGGACCAAGCATGGCTATGTTCATTATCTTATTTACTCTTCACAGGGACCCTAAGGGGGGGGAGGGTACGTTATTCTCCCCATTTCATAGATGAGAAAAACTGAGGAGGATGTTTTGTGAGTGGCCTGAGGTCCCACAAACAGTAAGGGGCCAGGGCCAGGCTCCAGGGCCCACAGTCCTTACCACTCCCCTACCCTGCCACCCTCTTGGGGAAAGGAAAAGTTTCCACTGCGTTAGGGGAAAAAAAAAAGTTCGATGGTCACAAACCTAGTCCACCCTACACCCAGTTTACAGATGGGGAAACTGAGGCCCAGGGCGGGGCAGGGATTTCCCCCACTGGGGTCCTACAGCAGGTCAGGAGCTGGAAAATGCAAGGCCCTCTCGGGAGCCCACCCTGCCCTTACGGCCCCGTCCGCTCTGCCCAGCCAGGGGTCCCGCGCGCAGCGCATGCCCTACCACTACTACGAGCCCAAGGGCCCGGACGAGTGCGTCACCTACATCCAGAATGAGCACAGCCGGAAGGGCAACCACCACCGCTTCATCACCGAGAAGAGGGTCTTCTCGTCCTGGGCCCAGCTGTATGGAATCACCTTCTCCCACCCCTCCTGGACCTAGGCCGCCTGCCGGGGGTGGGGCAGGGGGGCCCCTCGCCAAGGGCACGGGAGGAGCGGTGCTCCGCCCAGCCGCCGGACCAAGGACCAGCTCCCGGCCAATCGAGGCTGGCCCGCGTGTCTCCCGGCCAATCGAGGCCTTGAAGAGGATGTATCCTCCCGCTAGTCAGGGCTTGTGGGTATTTCTTGGCCAATCAGGGATTTGGGCTTCGGTGTGGTTAATCAGGGGTGTCAAGGGTATTTCTTGTCCAGTCAGGGTCTGAGCAGTCAATCAGGGTATTTCTGCGTAATCTGAGGCTAAGAACGTTTTCTTTCCCATGAGGTCTTGGTTCAGAGCCCCAGGATGGACCTCAAATCACTTCCTCTTGGTTGGGACAATGGCGTCCTGTCCCAAGGAGCTGGGAGCTTTGCGTTGCCCCCTCACTCGCCAGAGCCAGGAAGAGAGCTTGTGTGAGGGTGGGAGCTGTCTGAAGGCCGGCCCAGGGCATTTGTGGGGTTGTCTGTGTTGGGGGGCATCCCAGAGGTGAGAGGCCAGCGTCTGGATCTTCGGTCTGCCCAGAGTGGCCTTGAACAAACCTCTTGCCCCCTCTCTGGGCACCTTTCTGCCTGTGTCAGGTTCTAACGTGGAGTCTGTGACCCCCTGCCACCTCCCTCAATGACCGCCTCGAGCCTGTCCTCCCTAAGGCTGGACACCTCCAATCACCACCCTTGCTGGGGGGCTCAGCTCCCTGGGGGTCTGGGGTTCCCTTCTCCACCGCCTCTTGGAAAGTAGACGGTGTTTTTGCGCAAACTCCCCCAGGGTTTGGGGGACTCTGATAGGAAAGGGACAAACCTTCAGCTCTTCTCTCAGCCCCTCTGCCCAGCTGCTATTAGCTTGGCTCTTAAAGAGCCAGGCTCTCTTTTCTGCCATCTGACTGTGAGGCTTTCCACCTGTTAGAGGAGCCTTTGGGGCTGAGAAAGGGGGATCCCAGCCAAACTGGGGTTTCATGCAGCCCCTTTGTCCGCAGCTGCTGGAGTTATCCAAGGGTCTTCCCCACCTGGGTCTGGGAAGGCTCTAGGGGGCCAGGAACTCTGTCACCTGGGTTCTGGCTTCTACATCAGGCACTTTATTGCTGGGCCTCAGTGGGGTGGGTTTGCCCCCTGGTCTTCCAGAGCCTGGAAGGGAAGGCTGGAGGGCTTCCTGGAGGAGGCTGTGGAGTGAGAGGGGTCAGGTGGAGGAGGCAGAGGCCAGCAGCGAGCCATTGCACACTGGGGTGGTGGGGTGGGGGCCGGCAGCTACTCCAGACTTGGTTTTGTAATGATTTGTACAGGAATAAATGCACCTAAACTCCCACTTCGTCTCCTGTGTCTTCCGGATCGAGCTCGGCTCTCTCTGGCCCAAGGCTGCGGGCCTCCCCGGACAGTGCCCCACTCTCCCAGCTGGGAGCTCACACACAAGCAGACGGCCAGCTTTTTCAGACGGACACTGGCTCGTGCACTTTGCAGTTTGGATGGCGACCTGGCCGCTCAGGGGGTTGGGGGAGTGTGGGGTTCTGGAGCCAAGGCCACCTGGCTTTTCCAGTCCTGCCTCCCCCCTGCCTGTGTGACCTTGGGCAAGTCACCTCACCTCTCTGAGCCCCAGTTCCCTCATGGGTGAGATGAGACCAGACACTGCTCTCGAGCTCAGTTCTAGGGAGGGGAGGGGCCCCCACCACAGGTTCTGTCCCAGTCAGGCCACTGAGTGATAAGGACTATGATGACAAGAACAGGGCTCTGTGAGAGGAAGTTCTGAGGAGGTGACGTTCTTCCTGAAGCCTGAAGGACAAGGAAGAGCCTTGCAGATATTTAGGGGAGGGAAATGACATCCCTGTCATAGAAGGCAACTGGGGGGACTAGAGGGAGGAGGGACAGGGCAGGCGCGGGGTCCAAGGTTGGCTCTGGGGCCTGGCGCCCTGGGGGCAGGGAGCCAAAATTTCCTGCAGGGCCCAGCGGGAGGGAGTTGGGCACGGCCACAGCCCTGGGGGGGGCGGGTTGTGATGAGCCGTGGACCCCGAATTGCTGCCACCAACCTCTCAGCAAAAGGGCTTGTTGACTCCGTGTTGGCAGGAAGACGGGGTCAGTGACTCTGGGAGATTACAATCCGTTTAGGCAGATAAGATGCCCTTGGGAGTGGTCTAACAAAGGGTGACTGTGTGAGACAAGGGCAGGCGGGCGGTCTGCTGGGGACGGGGAAAGAGAGCTCTCCCGGGCACTGGGCCAGCGGGGATGGTGGGCCCCGGCGCCAAGAGGGGAGAATGGCACCCCGCATTTGTCTCTCACTTCCCGTATACATTCACGCAAATGGGTAGCCACGTGCCAGGCGCTGTATCAGGTGCAGTGGAGGAGGGAGGGAATGTCAGGTGGGAAGAATGGCCCCAACGAAATCCTAGTGGTGGCAGCAGGCAGCGAAGCTGCGGCAGGAGGGAGCAATGGGAGGTAAAACCACTTTGGGGCAGACGGCAAAAGGCCACGAGTGGCAGCCCGAGGCGGGGCAAAGCCTCGGTCCTTCTTGCTTGGAGAGGTCGTCCTTGCTTGGACAGCCGCAGGACAGGCAGGAGGCTGGGGGGGTTGCAGGGCCCAGGGCCCAGGCTGACCAGACACAGTAACGGTGGTGGTGGTACGCATGTTGGAGGGACAGGGACTCCTTGCAAAGTCATTATGTGGGCAGCCCAAGGCCCTGCATGGGAATGGGGATATGAGAATAGGGCACCCTTCCAGCCCCATGCAAAGGCTTCTGGGACTCTGGGCCAGGCAGAGGGTTCTAGGTAGAATTTTTCCCACAATGCCATGGCTCTTCTGCCCGTGGGAGGGCATGAAGGGAGGTGCAGTAGGAGGGTGTCAAGAGGGGTCAGTTCCTGGGGGTGGACTCTGGGAAATTTCAGTTTAGTATCAGGAGGTGGGACTTTGGTGGAGGACACTGAGGGCAGGAGGCCTGGGGCCTGGTCCTTAACTCCACAAACTCTCACCGCCTCAGATGGGACCCAGCGGAGACTGGTCCACTCGTAGCCAAAGTTAGCTTCCTGAAGCCACATCATCACAGTCCTCTTTGCTCTGAAACCTTCACTGGCTCCTCACTGTGGCCAGGATCAAACCCATCTCCTCGTTTGGGGTTCAGGGCCCCCCCGAATCCCTGCGTATACCTCTTTGGGGGTGGGAGCAGCGGCTGCAAACCCTGTATGTGCTTCCCGAAGCAGCCACTCCAGCTGTGCCCTGCGATGCTCCCCCGCCAGCCCTGCCCGCTGACATGTGGATCCAGCTGTGAACCACGCAGTGAGGCCACCCCAGATGCATCCCCCATGCTGGCTTGTTTTCAAGTCTCAGAATTCTTTCTTTAACCAAAGTATTTTTTAAACGTTTTAGAAAATTAGTTTCACTTTATATTCTTATGTTTTCAGATGTTTTCTATGTTATAGAATAATATAAGCCGTACAAATGATAGAGGATAGAAAGCACGGGCATTGCCCAGTCCTATTCCTTGTTAACAGTCTAGAGTATAGGCTTCCAGATTTTTCCGCCATGCAGTTTTTTCTTTCCCTGTCTCCCTTCCCTCCTTCTCTCCTTCCCTCCTTTCTTCTTTCTTCCCTCCCTCCCTTCCGCTCTTCCTCCCTCCCTCCTTTGGGTTATAGCTGAGAAGAAAAATCCTGAAACTTTAATATTCCAGCATTGGTGAGAAAAATCCATAGTTTGTATGCAAAGAAAACAATTCAAACAGATACTTGAAAGCAGACATTTGGTTGATTGAAAAGCCAGTTAAACTTCCAACTTTCTCAAATAGAATTACAAAAAGGTAGAATTGTGTTTTTCACAGAGACTTAAATATGGTTAAGACTCAGATACAGAATAATACAGGTACTTATAATAGTTTCTTTTTCAGTTTTTTAAGATTAAAAATTTTTTTATTGTAAAAAAGAAATACATAAGATTTACCCCTTAACTATTTTTTTTAAAGATTTTATTTTTTTCCTTTTTCTCCCCAAAGCCCCCCAGTACATAGTTGTATATTCTTCGTTGTGGGTCCTTTTAGTTGTGGCATGTGGGACGCTGCCTCAGCGTGGTTTGATGAGCAGTGCTATGTCCGCGCCCAGGATTCGAACCAATGCCCAGGATTCGAACCAACGAAACACTGGGCCACTTGCAGTGGAGCGCGCGAACTTAACCACTCGGCCACGGGGCCAGCCCCTCCCCCTTAACTATGTTTAAGTGTAGAGTTCAGCAGTGTTATTAACTGCATTTACATTGTTGTGAAACAGATCTCACCTTGAAAATCTATATCCACTAACAACTCTGAATTTCCCCTTCCCCCAGCCCCTGGAAACCACAATTCCACTTTCTGTCTATATGAATTTGACTATTTTAGATACTTCATATATGTGGAATCATACAATATTGTCTTTTTGTGACTGGCTTATTTCACTTAGCATAATGTCCTCAAGGTTCATCTGTGTTAAAATTGCTTTATGTGTAAAATAATAGATGCTTGTTGTATTGAAAAAGGAAAAGAGCACAGGGAAGGGTCTTTGGGTGGGAAATGGAAGCCAACCCCCCCCCCACCCCGATCCTGTGCACGCACTTGCCCTCAATTCTGCTTCATTCCATCAACTTTGATACCATTGATCTGATTATAAGAGAACATGATTTCAGATGTGTGAAAATGCAAAAAAAAAAAAAAAATCTAGGACTAGAATTTACACACACACACACCCCTGAACATTTAGAATAATTTTCACAAAGGCGGGATAAGTCCAGCATGGTGGGCTTCTTGCCTGTTTCTCTTGAACCACCATCTGCGACGACCTCTGACTTCCTTTCTCGTTCTGACCCTAAGGCAGAGTCACCGTGTCCCTACCCTGCCTGGCCGTGTCACTGTCCCTCCTATCAGTCAATCCCCACTGGCACTAGAGAACCATCCTGTACACATTTCGTGCCCACGCGTGGGATTCCTAACAGCAGAAGGGCCCATTTAAAATTCTGATGGACATCGATTTGCTTTCCACAAACGTTGTGCCAACACACACAGCCACCCACAGCTTTTGAGAGGGGCTGTCAAACAACTTCTGAGGCAGAGCCTCTGACCCAGCGCCCACCCCCTCACAAATGGGGAAATTAAGGTCCCAGGAAGTAAAGACCTTCTCTCATGTCACAGGTGGCAGAGCTGGGACTAGACCCAGGCATCCTGGTGTCCTGGCTGCTGTAGTTGCTAAGGAACTACCCACCTAAGGTGGTCTCAGTTCCTGGTAATCTCACTCTCTTGTTCAGACACTTTCCATGGCTCCTTAGTGCCTGCAAGACAAATTCTCAATTCAACCCACCCCACCATCTGGGGCTGCTGCCTTCAAGGTTGTGATGTGGTCTGGCCGTCAAGTTCCGAAGCTGCATGGTCCTGGTCTCTGGTATGTGCTCATCTCCATGGATAAACACATCACTTTCTACCTGGGAACCTCACTTTCCTCCATGTTTAAGGAGTCACAGACATGGCACGCAGGGAGTGCTCATTTATGGAAGCTGGGTTTTTTTTTCTTATCAGGATTATCTGTTCCCTATCTGGGTACCCACAGCATCCTGAATGTCCCACGTTCTCGCACTCCCTTCATTGGGAGCTGCCTGGCAGCTCCACAGGGCAGGGCTGGGTTTTTATAACCTTCTACACAACCCCCAGCTGGGAGATGGGTATGTGGTGGGTGGTCTTTGGGGTCCTGGGGAGTTTCAGTTCCAGAGAAGTCCTCAGGGCCCCTTCCAACAGGGGAGAAGGAGTTCCAGGTGGGTCTTGGCCCTGGGGCCTCTGGGCAGGATCTGAGGAGGGGCTGGGAGAATGGCGGGGCCAGCAAAGCCCCCGGAATCCTTGCCTCAGTCCCCTCCCTCCCTGGTTCTGGCGGCTCTCTGCCGCCAAATTTGCTGTGGGATTTTGTGCAAAGAACCTCTCCTCTCTGGGCCTCAGTTTCCCCACCCGTCATACGGGAAGCCTGGTCCTGTTCCCCTGGAGTGATGTGGGCACAGTTGGAGGTGTTGCAGGAATGAAAAACCCTCCGCAAACTGTAAAGGGCTGTAGGGAGCGCAGGCACGGCCACCTGGGCATGCAGGGTTGGGGACGCCAGTCTTGCTCTGGCTTCCCAACGGGGCTCGGCTGGGTCCAGTCGCCCCTCCCTCCCCGGCGCGCTCTCCCTCCCTCCCGGCTCCCTCCCTGCCAACGCGGAGCGCTGGCTCCCGGCATGCCGCGCGCTGCTGACAGCCTTATAAATAGTGGCCTTGGCCACGGCGGCGAGCACGGCAGGGCGCGCGCTGGCCCCGGTGCCCACCGCACCCTCCGCAGGTCAGTGTGCGCCCGCTGGGCTGGGCGCGCGGCGGGGCGCCCTGCGGGGAGCGGGGAGCCGCGCTCGCCGGGGGGCCGAGCGTTTGTGTGTCGGGGTCTCCGTGGGGTTCGTGTGGCTGTGTTTGTCTCCCGTGATTGTGATCTGGATGCATTTGCCTGTCTGTATTCCCCAGGCTGTGCTCTGGGCATTTGGGCCACAGTTGGTGTCCCTTTGTGGATGTGCGTTTGTGGATGTGTGTTGCAGTCCCTCCCAGCCTCCGACACTGTCACACCTTTGTCCCGGCTGGTACTCCTAGGGCTCCAGGTCCCTGCCCTTGGCATATCCCCACTGGGGCCCAGGGAGGGGGGACTGAGGGCTGACTCCCCGTCCCAGAGGACCTGGGCAGGGGTAGCCAGTGTGATTGGAGGAGCTATCCTGTAATGTCATTTTGACAGCACTTTGGGGACGGGAAGCCCCTGGGTGTTTGGCCCCCTGCCCCAGCCCCCTGAAAGGGCAGGGGCTCTGTGGGAGCCCTGGGGCCAGCACCTGGGGCCTCTCCTGAGCACTGCTCAGCCACCCACCCGGGATGCTCCAGCAGCAGTGGGACAGGGCCTGGGGGGGCAGGCCCAGAGAGGGGACACCAGCTGCCCAAGGTCACACAGCTGAGTGATGGAGTTGGGATTTGAACCCTAGTTGGTTGCCAACCACTGGGAAGGCTGCTCTCGGTCAGGAACTGGGAGACCTGGGTCTTGCCCTGGCCTTGCCTTGTGATTGAGGTTAAGTTGCTGTCCTTCTGAGCTCAGGTCCCCAGGCCCCTTGGCAGACCACCCAGTCATCCTGGGAGTCACTGTGGCCCTGACCTGGGGGCCTTATAAGGCCTGGGTGCTGAGCCTGTAACCCAACTCCATCCTGGACCCCCCGGCCACCATGAGGCCTCCTCACAACCCAAGTTATTTTAGACCAAGGAAGTGGCAGGTGCCAGCAGGACACTGGAGCTTAGGTTACCGGGAGGGGGCGGGGCGGGTGGGGTCCAGGCCACTCCTCAGGGCGGCACTGAAGGCCGTTCCTGGCCTGGGGACCCTCCCCCTCCCCCCGCCCCTGCCAGCTTCTAAGGGGCGTTGGCAGCTGCTCCTCTTCCTTGAGCACACTCAGCAGGAAAGAGGCTATTAACTCAGGCCCCAGTTTGGCGGGACAGTCAGCAAAGTTGCTCAAGGACCCACCGGGTGCCAGACCCAGAGCAGCAGAGAGCACAGCCCCAAGTCTGACCCCAGCCAGGCTCTGGAGCAAGTCCCCCCTCCTCTCCAAGCCTCAGTTCCCTCCCAAGATGGCTGTGAGGGTGGAGTGGGGCCCCCAGCCCTGTGCCTAGCCCAGGCCCAGTCTGGTGTGGGACACAGGCCTGCCGTACCACAGAGAGGAGCGATACAGTGTGGTGTGTGTGATGCTGGGGGAAGTTCCGAGGAGGCTCCTGCCAGTGTGGGAGTGGAGGGCAGAGTCCTGGAAGACTTTCTGAAGGAGGTGACACCTGAACTGAATCCTAAACGATAGCACCTTGGGGAAAGGCATCCGGACATTGGGTGTAACATTAGCTGGGGCCCGGAGGTGGGACATGATCATGGTGGGTGAGGGAGCTCCAAGCAGTTCAAGCAGCTGCTGCTGAGGCTGCAGAGGGTGTCAGGGCCAGATCACTGGGCCCTGTCAGCTATGTTAATGGCCAGGCTTTATCTTGGGAGCTGAGGGGGCCACACATGGAGGGGTTTCGTGCAGGCAAGTGACATGGTCTGATGCTGTCAGAGAAAATCCTGCAGATTGCCTCGCAGAGGGCAAAGGTAGGGAGGCCCATGGTGGCAGGGACAGTGGCCAAGCCTCCTGTTGGGACAAGGAAGCAGCGGTGGGGACGCAACTGGAGAGAGGCTCAGGAGCAGGAGCACTGGGACGTGTGTGCGCAAGGCAGAGGTGGGCTGTGGGAGAAGCATTCCTGCTGAGCGGGGGCCTTCTGCTGAGAGGGACGTGGAGGAGCTGGGGACACGGGAGGGGCTGTTCAGAGTCTGTGGGGTCTGCGGGGCTTCCGAGCCTGTCCAGGGTCTATAGTTTTAAGGGGCTAGGGAGAGAGGCCTGGGCTGGCTGGGCAGGGATGGGGCATCTGGGAACTGAAGCCAACAGTGAGAGGGTGGAGTAGGGACGTGGGATGGGGGTCCCAAGGGGGAGGAATGCTGGCCGAGGGTCAAGGTGAGAGTGGTTATGATGGATGCTGCCCTGGGGGAGGGTTGGTGGCTGGGGAGTGGAGGCCAAAGGTGTGCAGATGGCAAGTCTGGAGACTGATGGGTGGTGGAGGTTGAGGGAGGCCCTGGGGGGGCTGGAGAGGCACAAGGTGGGACCCAGGCAGGGTTGGAGTTGATTTATAAGCGGACAGGAGGTGGAGGCAGTGGAGCAAGGTCATCAAGGCAGTGAGGGGGCAGCAGCCGCGTGGAGGGTGGAAGGTGGGCCTGTGCAGGGGCGAGAGCCTGGAGACCCCCTCACTTGAAAACTGTAAGGGCTGTGTCCATGGGAGCAGCTCCCGAAGCTTCCTCCCCCCTCAGGCTCTGTGTCCCTTTGATCATCCAAACTACACCCCAGATGAGGACACATGCAGCTCCGGTCCCTCCTCCCACCTCCGGGCAGCTTTCCTCCAGGCTCTGGGGAGGGGAGCGTCGTCAAGGTGCGGGGCAGACGCTGGCACCACACACGCCCTGTTATCTGGGACTTGCAAGGGGAGCAGCCCAGCAGTTGCTGGTGTCTGTTTAGGACCCCCAGCACTGCCCTCACCAAGCAGCACCTCCCATGGGAAGAGGTGGACCGGAGGGGGCTGCTGCCCTTCTGTGACAGGTGAGACAGCGGAAGCACAGAGAGGAAAGGTGACTTCCCCAAGGTCACCCAGCCTCCTGAGCTTTCCCTGCCCCCAGCGGCCCCCTCCACCCTCAAGGGCACGTCAGGGCCTGGCACATTCTGGTGGCTTGGAGGAGCAGAGGCGGGGTGAGGGGGCATCCCCCTCACGAGCCCCCCCGTGTCCTTGTGTTGCAGAGTGCTGACTCGGCTCCCCGGACCTCGGCAGGATGGAAGGTACGGAGTCTCCTCTCCTGCTCACTGCCTGGGCCTCAGTGTACCCCTCTGTTAATGGGGCGTGCTCTTGGGACACATTCTGGGAGGGGCTGGAGGAGGCTCTGGGGCTGCCGGAGGGGTCCTGTCTGGGAACCTCCAGCATCCTCCTCGGCTTCTCACGGGATGTGTCAGCTCCAAGATTAATTTTAGAAGAGACGAGTCCTCCTTGAGGCTCCTGAGGGCCCCACAGCTCTCCTCCCACGCTGGTATTTATAGAGCTGAATCCCTGCCTTTTTCTGGAAAGGGTGGGCCCTGGTGAGAGGAGGCCTGTCCTGGGGAGAGGCCCCCAGTGTGCAAATGCCAGGGCTGACGAGGACAAAGCAATTCCCTCCTCTCTCTGGGACTCAGTTTCTCATCCAGTAGGGGTGGGTCTGGAGGATGTATGGGGCCCTCCTGGCTCCTGTGGAGGGAGACATGGGGCAGACAGAGAGACTGGCTGGCCCACCTTCTGGCTGCCCCACCCATCCCATCCCTGGCAATGTGCCTCAGCCTGGGCGGCTCTTAAAGAAGCCCAGTGGGCCCAGCTGCTGCTGCCTGAAGCCAGCGGTCACCCTTCCTCCCCTGGGGCTCCGAACATCAGCTACCACTGGGCTGTGGCCTCCCCCCACACCCGGGCTTGTGCCTATCACACAGCAGGCAGAGAACGGAGCCCACAGAAGTCGTTCTTCTGACAGCTCCTCTGGGCCTCCAGCCCCATGGCGGGGAGGGCCCCTGGGAGCAGCTGAGCTCACCTCCTCAGTGCGGCAGGAACATGGAGCCAGACAGGCGTGAAGACTTCTGTCCTAAGGTCACACAGCAAGCTCCTGCTTCTCTGAGAAGGGACGGCCAGGCAGTCTGGGAAGAGGGCCTGGGTTCCACTTCCGGTTCTGGCATCCCCGGGGCAGATCCCTGCCTCTCTAGGCCTCAGTTTCCCCTGTCTGCTGGGGCTGTGGTCTTACTAAGTTCTTGGGGCCAGCGAGGCAGAGGTTGGAATGTCAGCTCGCCTCCCTCTCTGGGCAAGGGTTCCGTGTGCCCACCGCAGCCCTCTGCCCGGCAACCGTCTCCAGGGAGACGTATGTTGTGGTTGCCAGCTCCACATTCGTACCGCCCAGGGAAGGCGGGCGATGGGCAGGCCCGGGGCCTGGAGGGGAAGAGGAGGGGATGCAGCAGAACAGGACAATGGGGGCCTGCTGCTCAGTGACAAACCCCCGCGATCAGGAAGACTCTAAGGCCAGAGGTGACCCGCCACCCACAGGGAGGGCCGTGAGGGTTGACCTCTGAGCCCCTCGGAGCAGCCTCCAGGCCTTTGCCTCTGCTTGTCCCTCTGCCAGGAACACCCTCTCCTCCCTGGCCTGTCCCAGTCTCTGAGCTTTCCTGGCCCCATCACCACTCACTCTGGGCTGTGGCTTGTCTGCCTCCCTAACAGAAGTGTGAGCTGTGTCTAGCCCTCTGCCTGTGGCCCAGCCCGGGCCTGGGACCCCAGAGGTGCTTCTGGCTCTTTGTCAAGCCAGTGACTGAGTTCTGCTCCCCTTTTCCCTCCCACAGAGAAGCTGAAGAAAACCAAGATCATCTTTGTGGTGGGTGAGTCCAGGGAGGCGGGCGAGGCAGCAAGCAGGGAGGGTCTTCGCAGGTGCTGGTGGGAGCCCGGGCCTGGGGCTGCCTCCTGGGCTCTGCCCCTCCTCCGCTGGGCAACCCCGGCAGACCCTGTCCCTGTGGGGGCCCCATTTCTCAGGGCTTCTGAATGGGTGGGCGCTTGCAGGTGGGCCTGGCTCGGGGAAGGGCACCCAGTGTGAGAAGATTGTCCAGAAGTACGGCTACACCCACCTCTCCACCGGGGACCTCCTGCGGGCCGAGGTCAGCTCGGGCTCAGCCAGGGGCAAGATGCTGTCGGAAATCATGGAGAAGGGGCAGCTGGTGCCACTGGTGAGTGGGCCCTAGTGGGGTGGGGAGTGATGGTGGCCCTGAGTGGATGCCAACAAAGCCCACGACACCCTGGCAAGGCTGACCATGACCTTCCCTGACTCTGAACCCTCCTGTGGGTCCCCATGGCCCTGGGTGGAAATTTCCTTCCAGAAGCTCCCAGAGCCTCCAGGACCCTGCCCTGGTGACCTGTCCAGTCTCCCACCACCCTGGCCTTTCTCTCCCCAACCTCATCACAATCCTTCCTGCCTGGAATGTGCTTTCAGACCTTCCTAACTCCTCAGATTTGGGCTAAGACCCCCCACCTTTATACGCCTGTAGCCCTTCTTTGCCCATCCAACCCATGTCGTGCTTGGAGCTTGATGGGTCAGCTGTGTAATTATCTGTGTCCTCGGCAGACTGTGAGCCTCCTGCGGGCAGGGAAGGGCTGCTTTGTTCACAGCTGTGTCCTCAAGGCCCCGGACAGGAGCTGGCTGGGAGGCGGGGCTCAGTCAATACTATTGAAGGAAGGAATGAAGGAAGGAAGGAAGGAATGCCTTGCTCAATCAATCAAGTCTTCACAGTTCAGAGAAGGCTTCCTGGAGAGCGAGGCTTGTTTGGGCTGTGTTAGGGCAGGGGGAGCTTCAGGCTGGGGGGCAGCGAAGGCCCAGAGGAGGGGTAGGGAAGAGGGGCTCATGGACTCCTGCTTTTGCTGCGCCCCTAGGAGACCGTGTTGGACATGCTCCGAGACGCCATGGTGGCCAAGGTGGATACTTCCAAAGGCTTCCTGATCGATGGCTACCCTCGGGAAGTGAAGCAGGGGGAGGAGTTTGAGCAGAGGGTAAGATGCAACCTGGTGGGAGCTGTGACGTGGGGTGGCCTGTGGGGCGGCCAGGCGGAGGCTGCCGTGATGGGCAGAGAGAGACTGATTGGGGCGGGAGGGGCAGGGGGAGGTTGGACGGAAACCAGGCAAGACTTTCTGGAAGTCTTTCTAGAAGTCTAGAAGAAAAGGTATAGAAGAGGAAGCACCAGGCAGGGGAGTTCACCACCCTGGGCTCAGGTTCCAGCTCAGCTGCTTGAGGCCTCGGGTCAGTCATTCTGCCTCTCTGAACCTCAGCGTCCCCTTCTGCAAAATGGGGAGAGACAGTTTGCCCCTGCCTCGAGGGGCAGCATGGGGATTAGAGAGAATGCGTTCTTCAAAAGTGGGGCTTGGCACCCCGTAAACACTTGGTCAGAGGGGCAAGGACAGCATGGACAGGGCTGGAAGGGTCAGCCTGGTGTGGGGAGAACATGGTCTGTGGGGCCCAGTAACTGGGGGTGATGTGAAAGAGGGAGGCTCAGGCCTCAAATGCCGGGGAGGGCAGTCTGGTCTCCTTCCAGGGACCACGGGGAGTCTGGCTGCAAAGAGTGGGCCTTGACCATGATGCTCTGAGCCGCCTCAGGTTCCCACCAGGAAAACCTGCCACAGGGTGGGAGCACCTCACCCAAACAGACACGTGTATAGGCACACGTGCATGCACACACAGGCACACAAGCGCACGTCCACATGCACACAGGTCCGGAGGCACACAAACACATGCACGAGGCCATAGGCATGTGTACATGTGCACACACATCTGGCAATGTACATGCACGCACACTCATGCAGTGCATGCATAGGATGCAGTACACCTATACACAAGGATGCACACAAGTGCACGCTCATGGGCACAGACAGATGTACACACATACACACACGTACATCCATACCTCTGGTGTCACAGGTCATATGGGGGAAACAGATGAGACTATAAATACCTAAGAGGGAAAGTTCAGCAAGGGTGGGTGGAGGGCTCAGCGAGGGCTTCTTGGCAGAGGGACTCCTTCCAGGTCTTGTTGGCAGGACTGGGCATCCCAGTGGGCTGGAGGCAGGACCAGACCCCTATGCCCTGCTCCCCACCTCTGTGATCTTTGGGCTTCTATAGCTTTGAGCCTCATCCAGAAGTTGGACACTGTATTTCTTTTTTTAAAAAAATTTTTTATTATTTTTATTTTATTTTATTTATTTTTTATTGTGGTCATGATAAGCTTATAACATAGTGAGATTTCAGTTGTACATTAATATTTGTCATACACCATCTAAGTATGGCCCTTCATCCCTTGTACCCACCCTCCACTCCCTTTCCCCCCGGTAACCACTAATTTGTTCTCTTTGTCTGTAAGTTTGTTTGTATTCCACACATGAGTGAAATCACATAGTGTTTATCTGGCTTATTTCGCTCATCATGATGCCCTCAAGCTCCATTCATGTGGTTGCAAATGGGGTGATTTTGTCTTTTTTCATGGCTGAGTAGTATTCCATTGTATATATACCACATCTTCTTTATCCCCTCATTGGTCAATGGGCACTTGGGTTGCTTCCACTTCTTGGCTATCGTGAATACTGCTGCAGTGAACATAGGGGTGCCTAAGTCTCTTTGAATTGTTGATTTCAAGTTCTTTGGGTAAATACCCAGTAGTGAGATAGCTGGATCATATGGTATTTCTATTTTTAATTTTTTGAGAAACCTCCATACTGTTTTCCATAGGGGCTGTGCCAGTTTGCATTCCCACCAGCAGTGTATGCAGGTTCCCTTTTCTCCACAACCTCTCCGACATTTGTTGGTTTTGTCTCGGTGATTATAGCCATTCTAATGGGCATAAGGTGATATCTAAGTGTAGTTTTGATTTGCATTTCCCTGATGATTAGTGATGTTGAGCATCTTTTCATGTGCCCATCGGCCACCTGTACATCTGCTTTGGAAAAATGTCTGTTCATATCCTCTACCCACTTTTTGATCGGGTTGTTTGTTTTTTTGTAGTTCATTTGTGTGAGGTTTTTTTTATATATTATGGAGATTATCAGATATATGATTTGCAAATATTTTCTCCCAGTTGGTGGGTTGTTTTTTCGTTTTGATTTTGGTTCCCTTTGCCTTCCAGAAGCTCTTTAGTTTGACAAAGTCCCACTTGTTTATTTTTTCTTTTGTTTCCCTTGTCTGAGTAGACATGGTATTCGAAAAAAACCTTTTTAAGTCTGACGTCAAAGGACACTGTTTCTTAACCTCTAAGTGGCTGCAAGACCTCAAGAAAGTGTCTACCCTGATCTGGGCCTCAGTTTCCCTGTCTGTGAAATGGGGGTTGACTTAGCTTCCTTCCAACTAGGAGGCGGTGGACCCTGTGGTCACAGGGCAGCCCTGAGGCACGTCCTGGTCTGGCCCCTATCTATGTACCAGCTGTGTGATGTCACCTCCGACCCTCAATGCTACATCTAGAAAGTGGGGTTAATGAAAGGCTCCATCCCTCCTGGGGCTGCTGTGGGCACTGCTGTGGGCGCTGCTGTGGGCGCTACTGTGGGCGCTACTGTGGGCGCTGGGCTCAGCGCAGGGCCCAGCCCTGCTGTGGCCTTCAGAGGTCTGGACACCGGGTCTTCTTGGCTCTGGACACCAGGGGGCGCCAGGGCCTCACCGAGGGAGGACTGGTGCCCTTTTCCCTTCCAAGTCATCCTGGTGGATGAAATGTTTGTTCCAATGACAGTGACATTGTTCAGAACCCCCAGAGCTCAGCAGCCCCTCACCCCTTCACTCAGCCCTTGTTCCTTTGTCAAGTCCTGGTCCAGCCCTGCTGGTGTAAGACAGACGCCAGGCTGCCCTGGGGGGCTGGCCGCCTGGCTGGGGAGACGGACAGAAGTCAATAGCCAGACGCCTTCCTGAGACAAGCCTGAGACAGCAGTAGAGGAAGGAGGACTGGAAGAGTTTGTCCGGGTGGCGGGGATGGTGGTGGGGGTGGCGTCCGGGAAGACTGCCCTGGAGGAATGAGATTTTGGCTCAGATCTGAGGGTGAGCACTTAGCGTTGAGGGAAAGGACTCCTGGCAGAGGTTCCTGGCATGAGCAGAGGCCTGGCGTGGGAGGAGGTTGATGAAAGCCTAGACCAGAGAGTCTGTGTGGCTGAAGCAAGGAGAGCACAGGAGTGAGCAGCACGAGACAAGGAGGGTGGGAAGGGCAGGCCGAACCGTGCAGCCCTCATAGGCTGGGGAAGGAGTTTGGACTTTCTCCTGAGGGCACTGGGGAGCCATGGAAGAGGTCTGAGCAGGGGAGTGGCAGGGCAGATTGGTTTTAGGAAGGTCCCTCAGGTTGCCTTGGGGAAGGGCTTGAAGGTCTGAGTGGGTCTCAAGTGGGGCCCCAGAAGTAGGGATATGGGGAGGAGGGGGCCCCAGAGGGCAGGAATGGGGCCCCTGTGACTCATTCCCTGCCCGCAGATTGGACATCCCACGCTGCTGCTGTATGTGGACGCAGGTCCCGAGACCATGACCCAGCGGCTCCTGAAGCGCGGACAGACCAGTGGGCGTGTGGACGACAACGAGGAGACCATCAAGAAGCGGTTGGAGACCTATTACAAGGCCACAGAGCCTGTCATCGCCTTCTACGAGAAACGGGGCATTGTACGCAAGGTGCGCCCCAGCAGCCCCGGGGCAGCCCTAGGAAACCTGGCTTTTTGCCTGGCATGGCCTCAGATTGCTGTGACCTTGGGCCAGCCCTCCCCTCTGGGCCTTGGTTTCCCCACTGGTTCAGTGATGGGCTGCTGTCCACCATGGCTGGGCTCCAGGAGCCTGGCTGGGCCTCTGGGGAGGTCAGCCCTGCCTCGGCAGGGCCCACCCAGCCGTCCCTGGTCGTCTCCACCCTTACGGCCCGTCTCCCCGCAGGTCAATGCCGAAGGCTCCGTGGACAGTGTCTTCTCCCAAGTCTGCACCCACCTGGATGCCCTCAAGTAGCGATGCGAAGCCCCTTCCCCACCTCACAGCCCTGCCCCGCCCCTGCCCTGACCGGAGGCCGTCCTGGCCCGAGCTCAGCGCCTCCACCCTGCGTGGCTGGAGCACAGACAGAGGAAGCCACTCTATCCTGTTTTCATGGACAGCTGAGCACTAAAGGAATTTCTAAGGACATTTGGTTTTACTCCTTTTTCTTTGCTTCCATCGGAGTTGATTCACGTGGCAGGGCCACCCTGGCCTTGGGGCCCCAGCCGCTCACTGTCCCCTTCCTCCTCAGGCCCCTCAGCCCCCCTCAGCCAGCTGCCCTCCCCCAGCTCCCATGGAAGGCCCAGGGCCCTTCCTCATACAGGCTGTGCCAGGCCCCGGCTATGCCAGGCCTGAGGACCCAGGGCAATGAGGCTGGGTCCCTGCTCTCGAGACTTGTGGTCGGGCAGAGCTGGGCCCTGGCCTGGGTTCCTCCGCATCCTCTCTGCGTGGCCTTGGCCCTGCCCCCTCATCTCTCTGAGTGTGTTTTCTGTGCTTCTTCACCGCTGGGGCCTGGGCTGCAGCAAGCAGCGAGGTCATGGGCCGTGGGGGCTTCCTGGGCAGTGCAGGTGGCACATGTCAGCTGGCCGAGTGGGCAGTGGATTGGCCTCCTTGGTACAGGAAGCTCTGAGGGGCTGTAAAAGGCATCAAGAGTGAATGGGGGGGTCACGGTCAGGGGTGCCTCCCTGAGGAGGTGAGACATGAAGGACCTCCCACCGTGTGGCCCTGGATAGGTCACAGCCTGCCCTTTCTGAGCCCATTTCCAAATCTGAATTAGGCTCGGTGGTTAGGACAAGAACACGCTGCACGAAGGGTGTAGGTTGTCAGTCACCACTGCGGGGGGCCAGGACCAGAGCGGCCTTGGGGATGTGCAGGGCTGGGGTGCTTGGGGATCCCCCAGGGTCTCCCGGGGAGCCATCTTCCCTTTTCTGTTCTCTTTCTCTCTTTGACCTCATCACTGAGAAAGGTTCCACTTGGTGCTCATGTGTCCACACCTGTCCCAGCCCCGGTGGGCTCCCTTTAAAGACAATAGGCCCTTCGGCCAGGCCTTCCTGGCTGGAACACAACTCCACGTGGGGCTGCTTGTGTCTGCTGTGTGTCCCTTCTATTTATGGCACATGTGGCTGGTTTTCCACTTACATTAGTTATTTAAACTTTCCTTTAAAATAAACAAAGGGCCGGCCCCATGGCCGAGTGGTTAAGTTCACACGCTCCGCTTCAGCAGCTCGGATTTCACTGGTTTGGATCCTGGGCGCAGACATGGCACCGCTCATCAAGCCACGCTGAGGCAGCATCCCACATGCCACAACTAGAAGGACCCATAAGTGAAAATATGCAACTATGTGCTGAGGGGCTTTGGGGAGAAAAAAGGAAAAATAAAAATCTTTAAAATAAATCTATTTAAGTTATAAAAGGTGGGTCTATTGGAAGAAGATCATGAAATAAGTAAATGATGGTACAGGGGAGAGAGGAGAAGGCAGGTGTCACGTGGGTGAGACTTCTGGTCGGGGGTGGGGGGGTGAAGGCCTGTGCAGCTGGTCTCTCTGTTCCCCTCGCCAGCTGGGGCGTGCGGGGAAGCCCCCACTGCTCTGTGACCTCCCACCTCGGGGTCTCCATGTGGCACCTGTCAAACCGGCTTAACACACATGCACACATACACCCCTGCACACACATACATGCACATGTGCACACACCCCTCTGTCCCAAGGTGTCTGAGAATCAGCGTGAGGATGGATGGGAAAGCACGCCAAAGACAGGAAAGAGCTAGAGAAATCCACCTGACGACACAATCATCATCATCTTTATTTTTTTGATAATCAAAAACAGCTTCATTAATTCAGATGTGTCCCGGTCGATGAAAACCTAAGCTGACCCAGACTGCTCACCACAGCATCACTTTATTCACTTAAAAAAAAAAAAAACTTTAAAAAAAGCCATGAAAAGTTTAAAAGCTCCAGTAATCGCCACCCATCCTTGCCACCACAAACCTTCCTTCGAGGGTTTCCTTCGTGCACATTTGTTCCTTCAGCAACTTTCTAGAGCGCTTGCCATGCTGGCCAGACACAGGCTCGTGGGTCCTTGGCCCGCTGTCATGTGGCTCCTGGCAGGAGTAGGGGGCCCAGGCTCACAAATTTCCATCAGCTCTATTCAACTGAGACCAGTTCTGGGCAACTCAGTGCACAGAGCTCAGAGCAGACACTTGAGGCGGGGCCCTTTGGGGACACCCTTTGAAGATACCTAGGAGTTCACCATGAGACAGAGGGCATGGAAGGGCAGAGGGAACAGCCCTGCACAACCACAGAGGTGGAGAGGATCTGTTGGGTTTAGAGAGGGCAGAGGCCTCAGCAGGGCTGGAGTGCAGGCTAGAAGGGGTACAGTAGCAAGAGACGAGCGTGGTAGGGGGTGGGGGCCAGATGTGCAGGGCCTTGAATGCCAACCCAAGTGCTGAGTCTTTGCCCTAAGGGAAACGGGAGGCTCAGCGAGAGTTTTGTTTTTAATGAAAAATTTCAAACAAACTGAAAATTGGAGGAAATAATATAATGGACACCCACATACCCATCACCAGCATTGAATAATTGTTAACATTATCCCATACTCCCCCATTACTGTTTTACTTTTGCCAAAGTATTTAAAGTGAATTACAGATAAGAAAAAATTTTACCCCAAAAGTATAACTTCAGTAGGAATCTAAAAAGTAAGGACATTTTCCTGTATCACCACAACTCAGAGTTTCAATAACAGAGTTAACACTAACACCATAATGGATAATCTCAGTCCACATGCAATTGTCCCTAAAATGTGTCTTTGTTCAAACCAGGATGCAATCCAGGACCACACGTGCATTTGGTTGTGAGGTCCGGCAAACCTGTTTTAACCTAGAACGGCTCTTTGTGACATTGGCCTGTGAAGGGACCGGTCATCCTGCAGAAAATTCCTCCCAGATTCACCAGTTGCTTCCTCGTGGTGTCATTTAACTTGCTCCTCCATCCCCTGAATTCCTTGTAAACTGGAAGTTATTTGTAAAGGCTTCACAGATTCCAGTTAAGCCTTTGGGGCAAGAACACCTAAGAGCTGAGACCCTTGGACGGTTTTCAAACCAGGCAGGTGGCAGGATTTGCTGTGCTTCCAGCTGTAATGTGCACACAAATCTCCCCGCGTCTTGTTCAAAAGCTGATCTGATTCAGCGGGTCTGGTCTGGGCGGCGAGGCCCCAGCTGCTGGTCCACGGCCCACACTTTGGGTAGCTCGGAGAGAACCTGCGCTGTGCAGGCGGGAGCCTGGAGGGGGTGGGGGGGGAGGGCACATCTCTAGGGTCAGGATGTGCTCATCATCCCGCGGTGGGCTGAGAGCTGGGTGTGGCGTCGGATGCCAGACAGTGTTGTCACTCTTCACATCTCCAGGGACACTCCAGGCAACAGCTTGCCCCAAGGTGCCAGAACATTCTCACCAGCCAGAAGGAGGGTATAGCCTCTGTGACCTCAGGGTTTCAGAGAGGAGAGCTTGTGGGTGGGCCCCCTGGAAGGGTGGCCTCAGATGCACCCCTTGGACTGCTCCCCTAAGTCTTGGCCTCGGGGGCCCTGAGGGCCTGGCCAGAGGCGCTGAAGTGGGAGAGGAAGGAAGCAGGGAGCAGAGGAGGCCAAGGCTGTCGCCTCCCAGCCGCGAGAGGGGCCTCGAGTAAACAGGAAGGCCTGGCGGCTCCACGGTGGGGGGGCTTTGAAAGGGTGGGGGCCAGAGCTCTACAGGACATGCGCAGCCTGTGGAGCGCAGGGCTTCCTAGCTCGGGAAGCAGACTCAGAGAGGGTGTGTGGCTTGCCCCAGGTCACACAGCGGGGCAGGGGCCCAGGGCCTAGCCTGCCAGTCCTGTTTCTGCCCCCATCCTGGGGTTCTGGTGCAGGGTCTCCTGCCTGTGCTGACCAGCAGTATTCATGAGGTGCTGGGTGAGTGTCTCCCCTTCTTGGGCCTCAGTTTCCCTCTCTATGAACTCAGAGCCCTTACCCTCAGAGGTTCTAGAATCCTGGCCCAGTGGAATCCTTCTGCCTCCGAGGTGGTCTTCATGGGTTCTTCAGACCTGGGGGAGGGGGCTTTATCAAGGGGTCCAACATCGCCCAGGAGGCGGCAGGTACCAGGACCATTCCTCGGGGAGGGAGAGAGAGACTTTGAGGGCCTTCACTCTTCTAGAACAGTCTGCCGGCACCACTGACCCTTGTGACCATGCTGTACCCTTGGGGAGTCATTCCTCCTCTTCAGAGACCCTGTCCCTGGGCTCAGAACGCCCCTAAGACTCACACCCTTGGGGACTCAGAATCACGACTTATGAAACTTGGAGCTGTGCAGCCCAGCGGTTATGCCCATCCATTTATTCCGTAAGCATTTATCGGGTGAGTGCCTACCACGGGCCAGGCACTAGTCTAAGTGATGGAGATGCAGCAGCAAACAAGGCAAAGCTTTGGCCCCATGAGACTTCTGTTCTAGAGAGAGAGAGACAGACAAAATAAACAATACATAGAGTGTCGGACGGCGCTGGGAGCCCCGGGGCCAACTGCTGGTGTGGGGAGAGAGCTATTTTAAATGTGATGGTCAGGGAAGCCCTCACTGACCATATGACATTTGCTCTGCCGCTTAAAGGATGAGGAGCAAGCCCTGTGGTTATCTGGGGGGAGAGTTTCAGGGAGAGGGAAGAGCAAGTGCACAGGCCCTGAGGCGGGCATGTGATTGGCACATTCAAGGAACAGCAAGGAGGCCGGTGCTGCTGGAGCGGAGTGAGCAAAGGGGAGAAGAGCAGAGGGTGAGGTTAGAGAGGGGACGGGGGACGCCCACTGGATTTTTGAGGAGCCCTGGCTTTTATGCTGAGTGAGGCAGTTGTCTGTGAAGGGCACTGAGCAGAGGGGGATGGAACTTGACTTAGCTTAACAGCCTCCCTTTGCGGATGCAGAACGGGCTGGGGGCATGGGTGGAGCAAGGCAGCTCCATGAGGAGGTGATTGCAGTATTCCAGGAGGTGCTGGCAGCTTGGACCAGAGTGGTAGCTATGGAGTGGTGGGAACCCCACAAACACTGGGAATTTGGGGGAGCAGCTGCCGGGATTTGCTTGTGGGTCGGATGAGGGGTGTGAGAGAGAGTCACGGTCGACCCGAAGCCTTGAGCAACGAGAGGAGGGCACTGTCACAGTCTGAGATGGAGAGACTGAGGCAGGAGCAGTTGGCAGAGAACGAATAGAGCCCGAATTTGGACGCGTGAGGTCTGAGATGCTTGTTAGACATCCAGGGGTCTGGAGCCTGGGGGAGGGTTCTGGCTGGAGATATGAAGCTGGGAGCCATCAGTATATGGATGGTATTTAAAGCTGTTTGTCTGGATAAGGGCACCCAGAACAGTGCTTTTCAAATTTTAATGTCCACAAGAATGCCCTGAGATCTGATAAAATGCAGGTTCTGATTCAGCAGGTCTGGGGTACAGCCTGAGAGAGGAGCCCACTTGGAGCAGCAAGGGTCTAGGGCATTCTATTTTACGGCCAAGACCCATTGGTGGGTAATGAAATCAACAGAGTGACTTGTGATCCGTCTTTGAGAGAAAATGAAAGAGGATGGATGCACATCACAAGAGTATATACGGGTTCACAAAATGTTTGTTTCAATTTTTTGAGCCTGAGTCCCAGGGTTTGTGCTGGGGCATGACGTTCTGGTCGCTAAGGTTTGAGAAAACCTGACTTGGGATTGACTGAGGGTAAACAGAGAAGGGAACAGGCCCAGGGACCAAGTGCGGGGGGATGAGGAGGCACCAGGAGGAGGCAGATAAGGCGACCAGGGAGGTGGGAGGAAACCCAGGACGGAATGTTCTGGAAGCCAAGGGAGATAAGACAGGTGCAGATTTGAATTAGCCTCTGCTTCTCCCTGGCCCTGTTGTCGTGCACAGCTGAGCCTTAGTTTCCTTTATTGTAAAATGGGGACATGACAGTCTTTGCCTGTTAAGGTGGCTGGGAGGTGGCACTTGGCCCAGGGCTGGGCGAGCATCTGAATGGCAGAGTGATTCTGATCCTTGTCCTGGGCTTCCAGAGCCTCCAGATCATCAGGCTGCCCTCCCATTGCCCAGAAGAAATAGGCCCAGAATATCCAAAGGTCTTGCTTGAGGCCACCAGGGGCAGAACCTGGGTTCCCTGACTCCCAGTCCAGCACCCTCTTTCCTCTGCACCCACTTTCTCCCTTGTCCCTGGGGGTCTGGCCCTGCTCTTCTCAACAGCTGGCTCCAGGCCTGCGCTGGAGACGGACAGCCGCCTGGGGGGTCCCTGGGGGCCGCCTAAAATTCCTCCGGTGGCCAGCGGCCAGGGTAGACGTGCTCCATCCCTTCCTGTAGCCCTGGCCCTCGAGGCCAGCCAGGAGCAGAGTTTGCGCACCTGCGCACTGTGGGGTCCAGCACAGGGGCCTGGCCATCGGCCACATGTCTCTTTGGCGTGTGGATAGGCGGCACCTGAAAACATCTCTATCAGTCAGAGCCCCGGCAGGAAACAGATGGCACGCTCCCAGAGGATAATGTGAGGAAAGTTTAATGAAGGGTCTGTTTACACAGGTGCGGGCAGGGTGCGGGGAAAGCACGGGGGACGGTGCGGGGGCCATGACCAGCCTGGGCCTGAAGGGCTGTGTGGAGAGGGTCCGGACAGGGCCGTGGTCTGTAGCGGAAGGAGGCCACCAATTTGCAGGGACCCTTCGGGAAAGGAGCCAGAGGAGAGAATCCTCCTCCTGCTTCCTCTCTGATCTGTGTAGGGGAGAGGTGGTGGGAGGAGGTAGACATACCTCATACCTCAGCCGGATGGAGAGTGCATTTAGGGGGCAAACGGAAGACAGCCAACCCAAGGTCTGTCCCTGGCTGTGAGACCACATGACTAACAAGCTTCCCGGGGGGAGGTGAACCAGTCCAGGGACTGGCTTCTTCCACTGGGGAACAGGAGCAAGACCTACTTCTGTGTGCCTCAGTTTCAGGGCCCCAGCCCCTGCTTTACCTTCCAGGGCACTTCATGCTTTCAATAAACAGATCTCAAGAGCCCAAGGGTCCCAGCCATGTGCTGGCGCAGGGGCATCAGAGTCCCTGCCCTCGAGGGGTTTCTGATGGAGTGGAGAGACTCACACAGCTCGACGCCACATGGGTTGGGGGTGGTGGGCAGCCCCTGGGAGCTATGAGAGCCACAGGATGGCCTCCTCTCCACCCCTGGGGGTCCCAGTCTCTCCCTCCCTCCACTTGGTCTCTGGGGTCAGGGCTCCCCGCCCTCCTGGGGCTGTCTGTAGGGTTTTTCTCCCTGGAGGTTTCCTACAAGCTCTTCCTCGTGTCCATGTGCAGCCTTTCCTGCTTTCTAGAGAATCCATTGGCCTTGTTTATAACGTGGGTGGCGGTGGGTTCTGCAGCGTGGAGGGAGGTTTGTGAAAAGCCTCTTCGGGGGTCCCTGTTATGGCCCCGGATGCCCCGACACCCACTCCCGACGACAATCTGCCTCACCCTGTGACACCCACAGCCCCCGTGACATCTGTCCTCTCTATAGTCAGCTCAGGTGGTGGCAGCAGGGAAGGAGGTGCGCTTGGAGCCAGGCAGCCCCGGAGGCACCACTTTCCAGCTGGGGGTCACTCAACTTTCAGGAAGCCCAGGGTCCTCCTCTGGCAGTGGTGACGGCCCCGGCCTCCAGGAGCGGCCGCAAGGATTCAGAGCTGATAAGGTGAACGCCTAGGGTGGGGCCTGGTGCACTGGGAGAGCTCAGGCCCTGGGGCTGGATTAACTGTCCCTGGGGCACAGACACTGGTCTGGGGGCCTAGAGAGCCCTCAGAGCCGCCCCACTGTCCCCCACTGAAGCCATCCTTTGCCTCCTGGTGCCCACCTCCCCATCTCTGCACCTACAGAAAAAGGCAGAGGAGCTGCCGCTCCTGGGGTGGCCCCCTCCGCCCCATCACAGCCTTCCCGGCTTGCCGGGCATGGATGGGTCTCCCGTGACCCCGCGCCCATGCCCAGCCAGGAAGTGGCTGGGCAGCCACAGGGCTGGGCGAGCAAACCTTCCCCAATCCCCACCCCAGGAGCCACACCTGCCCTTCCCTCCCCTGTCAGCTCCTGCAGAGACAGCACACTCCTGCTCTGCCCCCTCCGGAGGCACCCAGGGCTCCCACCTCCTCCTCCCTCCCTGGGCCTCGCTTTCTCCATCTGTGACCAGGACAAGTACAAGAGGCAGACTGCTGGCCCCACCCCGCTGTGGGTCCTGCCAGCACACACCAAGATCTGTCTTCTCAAAGCCCAGCTCTGCCGGCACCTTCTGCTCCAGAACCCTCCGTGACTCCCCGAGGCTGGCATTCGAGGCCCCCCAGCCAGCATCTGCCTCTCTGGGCTTCCTGTCCCTACCACACCCCTGCTTGTCCCACAGTGGTCCGACCACTTCCTGCTTCTGTGCCTTTGCGCAAGCTGGTCCCCATGCCCGACAAGCCCTCCTCACCCCCTTTTTTACCCTTTCCCCCCAACTCGCCTAGTTTTTCACAGGCCAGGCCTAAATGCCACCTCCTCCAGGCAGCTCGGGATTCCTCCTCTGAGCTCCCTTGGGCCTGACGCTTGCACCATGGCCGGCACATAGCTGGCAGAATGAACAAGGGACAGGTTCTGGGATTGTCTTCCAGGCTCAGGGAGCACTGACGGGGGAGCACTTCCTGTGTGCCAGGCCCAGGACTCAGCGCTGTGGTGCCCCGACCCCTGGAAATCTCACAGCAGCCTGGTGAGGAGGGCACCATGTGCCCACTTTACAAACAGGGTGACGAAGGGTGAGAGGATTGGCTGAGGGCCTCACGGCTCAGAGCAAGCAGAGCAGGGTTTTGAACCCAGGACCATGTGAATGGCTTCAGAAAAGCCATTAGAGTGTGTCCCCCTTTCCGTTGGGGCTGCCTTTTGTCCCTGAAGGATTTTGTCCCCATGGAGGGGCAGGCACAAAGTGTGTGGCCCTGGGCAGGTCCCCTGTCCTCTTAGGCCTGAGGCCTCAGCCCCAGCTGCCACCCTGTGCCAATTTGGGAGTGTTGCTTCCTTAACCTGGGCCTCAGTTTCTCCTCCTGCAAAACCCAGACTGACAGCTCGGGTCGTGTTGTGTAAGCTGGCTTCGGTGCCTGACGAGAATCCCAACGCCACCACCTCCTTGGGCCACTCATCTGACCTCACCAGGCCTCTGTTTCCTATCTGCAAAATGGGAACACTGAGTTCACAGGGCTGTGAGTCCCACATGAACCGCCTTGGCCAGGGCCTGCTCCCTGCAAGGTCCTTTGGTGGGCTGTTAGGGTGATTGTTGTCATCTGCCCCCTGGGGGCTGCCAGATGCATCCCACCAGCCAGCCCTGGAGAGGGTGGGATGGGAGGATGGGGTGCATGGGGAGAGAAGCCTGGAGACTGGGCCCTCCCACCCCACTGCCTCCCCCCCGCCCCGGGGCCCCCCACCCAGTGACAAAGCCCATGGCACTTCCTCTCCCCGCCTGGCAGGCCGCCTGGCCCGGCCCCTTCTCTAAGGAAGCGCATTTCCTGCCTCTCTGGGCCTGGCTGGATGAGCCGGGAGCTCCCCGCTGCCGCCGGTCATACCCCAGCCTCCGTCCGCATCCTCGGGCCGGGCCCCAGCTGCCGCCCCCAGGAGCCCCGCGCGCGCTCCCGGCTCATCTCTCGGCCCGCGCCCCCCGCCTGGCCCTGCGCCCCCGTGCCCACTTCTCCTGACCCCTCGGCCGCCACCTCAGAAGGCTGGAGCAGGGACGCCGTCGCGCCGGCCGCCTGCTCCCCTTGGGTCCTCGCGCGAGCCCACGCCAGCCCCCGCGCCCGCCCGCGGCCCTGCCCCTGGACACCGGATAAGGCCCAGCGCACAGAGCCCCGCGTGGACACCATGGACCGAGGCGCGCTCCCCCAGGTCGTTGCCCTGCTGCTGGCCGTCTGCAGCCTCAGCCCCACAAGTAGGTGTCCAGGGACCCCGGGTGGGGAGACTTGGCCCTCAGAGCACAGACCAGGCCCCAAGTGTTCCTGGCCTCTTTCCTGTGTCCTGATCTCATGCCCCGTGGAACTGTCCTGGGGGTTTAGGACAGCCCAAGGGGATGTCAGGGTGACCAACCCTCCTGGTTTGTCAGGACAGAGAACTTAGCGCTAGAAGTCTCAGGCAAACAGGGATGAGCTATTTACCTTAAACCTGTCCTCTGGCCTCTGGCCTCCCAGCTATGTCCAGTTTCTCCCCAGGAAACCCAGGTCCCAGAGTGCTGTGCAGCCCTGGCAGAGTCTCCTGCCCTCTCTGGGCCTTGAGTTTCCCATCTGAGGAACGTGTGGGAAAGAGGGCCCATGGTCTCGGCCAGGGCTCTGGGTTCAAATCTCACGGCATTACTTCTTTATGGTGTGATCTTGGGGGAAAACCTTCAGGCCTCTGAGTGAAGCGGAGATGATACAGAACTCCCCTTGGGCGTTGCGAAGGCCGGTGGTGAGGCATTGAGGTGACATCTGTCGAGAGAGCCCTCAGGCAGGGTAGTTGTTTCCGTGATGTTATTGTTGTTGTTTTATGATTAGCTTTCAATTCCTCCACCCTCACCTTCCTGGGACTCGGGAGCGGCTCCCAGATCCCTCTTGAACACAGTGCTCTCCCCGGGCTCTGCTCCCTTCTCTGCTCCCCAGGAAGCCTACGGAATGGGGGTGCAGGCCTGGACTCGGGGTTCTGTCTGGGGGTCCTCAGCCTGGGGTCCTCTGCTGCCTTCTGAAATGACCAGATGAGGGGCCGTGAGGAGCTGGGGACCCTCACCCTCATCCCACTCGCTGGGGCCTCGCTGGACCCTGCCTTTCATCCACCTAAAGCCACAGGATGGCCCTGTGGACACCCCTCACCCATGGCGTATCTAGGAACTCCCTAAAGGATCGGGGGGGGGGGGCGAGAACCGGAACAGCAGCAGCAGTGGCCACCCCCCCCACCCCCGACACATACATTTTAAAGTCCCTAAGCCTTGGTCTCTAAGGCTCTTACCACAGCCTCACTGAAGGACAAGAACTGGGTCTCCGACATTAAGTGACATCGCAGGGATTCGACCCCAGGCCTGTCGCTCCGAGAACACTTGCTCCTAACTACATGGGATGTGGCAGCCCCTCTCCATACAGCTGGCCATAACTCTGCAAGATGGCTGCCATTATCACCCCATTTTACAGGACAGGAAGTGGAGGCTGTGACCTGCCAGGTTCACACAGCTCAGACAAGCCCTACCTGAACCCCACCATGCGCCTCCAGGCTACCCTGCCTTTCTCCTGCCTCCTCCACACTTCTAGCTTGATAACGCTCTCTTCCTCTTGGTCATCAGAGAAAGATCCATGCAGATCTCTAGGGCCTGGTTTTATAGGATCAAAGGCAGGGGCGTGCTGGCAGATAATCAACAACAGGGGTGGGGGGAGCGTTTGCCAATTTCCGTGGTGTGAATGTTCCCACCCGGCTGACTTCAAGCTACCGAGCCCAGACTCGGAGCCGGGATGCTGTGCGTGGCAGGGAGCACCAGAGCCAGGATGCTGTGCCTGGCAGTCCACCTTTATCTGGCATTTCCACCACACAGATCTGAAAGGCGTAGATAACCTCAAGAGCATAGATGATAGTAAAATGGAGTAAAATAATTAGGAAGTAATGAGTTTTGATATTTATTACCTTTTAAAAATATATAATTAAATTAAGCTAAATTAAATGAAGCTTAAAATTTTATTTTTAATAATAGCTGTGTTTAATAGCCAGTTGGAAAAACTTCTGAAAATTTATCAGTCTGCTCCTGCGAGCAGGTCCCAGCACCCTGGCCATCACAGGGCTCAAGGCCTTTCCACACCATCCAGCTCAACTCATATACAGTTGGGGAAACTGAGGCCGGTAGAGGGCAGATGGAGGTCTGGGCCAGGGCGTGGAACCCAGATCTCCACACCGGGGCAGGGGTGGGAGTGACCAGGCACCCTCATTCAGGCTGGAGGGGGTGAAATGGGTCCGAAACAGGACCCCAAAGGGGTCCAGCCTTCCGGGAACACAGCTTGGCAGAATCTCTCAAAACCGTAACTTGTGTAACAACTCACCCTTCAGAAGTCAGCCCTGTGGCATTATTTGTGCAACTTGTAAAGATGTATGGTCTGTAGGTACCTGTAACAAAAGCCCAGCAACCGGAAACCGCCAGAATGGCCATCGGCCTGGGCCCCATTAAATGAATTATTACTCAGGGGAATACCATGCAGCCATTAACAAGGAAAAGCTACATCTATATCTACCCTGCTGGGGACAGATGTCTGGGACACCCTGTTAGGTACCCAAACAGCATGGATCCCCCTTCTGTAAGAATGAGGAGTAATAACTCACAAGGTGCACAGAGAGAATCCTGATGTCACTGTGTTCTAGCACTGGGTTTCTCTAGGGGATTTTTACTTTCTAAGACACGCTTTTTTGGCATGTTGGAATCTTTTTTTTAAGAACGGACATTTAGAGATCTTTTAAAAAGCAATATATTAACCATATATTCACTTCAGCGTGCTCCTCAGAGAAAATAGATAAGAGGAGAAAAAATTAGCTCCCAAACTCCTTTACGAATACAGACGTTGTTAGCATGCCGGTGGATTGCTTACTCGTTTTCGTAGCTTTTTAAGGTAATTTTAATGCAGGTGGATTAACACATGGGAGTCTTGTGTCTCCTTCTTACATCCCAGAAGGTTTCTATGTTGTCACGTAGACTCCATAACTGTCCCATTGTGGTTCTGGAATATTCTTTCCCTTAAATGTGTCATCCCATCGTTTGACAATGAATCCCCTATTGTTGAATATTTAGGTGGTTTCCCCTTTGGGTCTAGTTATAAATACCACCTCCGTGCACATTTTTGATACGTGTACCTTTTCCTGTATTTTGGAATATTTCACTTGGATAGAGTCCCAGCAGTGGGGTGGTGGGGTCTGGGGCCCATGTTGGGCGGCTGGGATTAAAGAGTGTTTCCTATGCATCCGTGAGTGTTTGCTGGAGCATGGGGCAGAGGTGTGACTTGGAGCCCCCTGCCGCCAGCCACCTGTGTGGGGGTCTGGACTCTTTAGAGAGGACTAACTACGTAGGACAGAGACCGCAAATATCCATCCCTTAGAGGCTTCATTTGGGGCAGCTTCCCATTTGCCAGGAAGAAAAAGAGGTTGGAGTGGGAGCTGTGTGAGTCAGGAGAGGGTGGGTGCCTGGGGACGGGGGGACACGACCATTAGGATTCTCTCTCATCTCAGCCAGATGGATGGCGACACTAAGACCAGAGGGAGAGAGAGACCCTCTCTCGTGGTCACAGACGGGACAGTGCTGGGCCTTCTGAGGACAGGCCTGGTCTACTCACTTGAGGGCCTGAGGGGGGATCTGGGCAAGACGGAGGGAGCCACCGCTTCTGTGTCCCCAGAGCATTAGGCAGCTCTTTGTCTCCGTACCCAGTTTACAGATGAGGAAATCAAGGCTCGGGACAAGTGACAGGTCCAGATTTCAAGCCCAGGCTGTCTGCTGCTGAGCCCAGCTTCATTTCCCTGCAGGTTCGGCAGCCTGGGTGTGGGCGGCTGGGAAAGCCAGGCTCCTGGGTCCCCTGGGTCCTCCTGCCTGGCTCCAGCCCTGGCTTTGGGGCATCAGCCCTGGAGGCTGAAGAGGACCCTCATCCAGGGCCGAGCTGACTTCAGTACCTGTGAGAGGGGTGAGGGAGAAGAGACAAATATAACGGCTGACATTGATTTAGTGTTTACTATACGCCAGACACTGCTCTACACCCGTCATTGTACTATCAGCCTTAACCTTCCCCAAAGCCCGATGAAGCAGACACTCCTGTCACCCCTGTTCTACAGCCGAGGAGGCTGGGGCACAGGCAGGTGAAGGAATTTGCCCGAGTGACGCAGCCCAGAAGTGAGCAGCTGGGGATTGAGCGCTGGGCCTAACCACTGTGCTGTACTGCCTTAGGGGAGATGATGAGGAGCTCCCTGTTGTCAGATCTTCTCACCCCGGGCGTTTGGTCACTTTCCTGCACCTACAGTGACCCTCTCACCTAGAGCGCAACCGGATGGGTTCTGATGAGATTTTCACAACAGGGTTTTGAAGGATGAGTAGAAGTTGACCAAGTGGCCAAATAAAGGAAGACCATTGGTCCGGGAAAGGGCATGGTAGAGGCAAGGAGCAAGGAGTTTGAAGGAAAAGCTCACATCTCCCCACTGACCGGGCATAAATAATCGTGACAGCAGTGCCAGTTCCTGAGCAATCCTCACACATCAGGAGCCTGCTCAGCACCGTGCATGTACCAACATGTGTGTGTTACCAATGTTCTCACCAACTCGATGAGGAGGGTATTGGGATTATCACCATCCCCACTTTACAGATAGTAACACTGAGGCATGGAAAGGCAGCTGGAAGGTGGCAGAATCAGGATCCGAACCTTTGGCATCTAGAGTATCCCTGCACTTTTTAATTCCGTTCCAGGTTGTGGAGTGTGGACTTGACCCTGCAGGCACTGGGCAGCCATGGCAAGACTGGAGGAAGGAGTTTGGAGGCCTCGCTAGTGGCCGGGCCTGGTGGGGAGTGTTTGGGCTGGAAGGAGAGAAATCTGTGAGACTATCAGTGGACCCCAAAAGGAGAAAGGGGTGGCTGGGTGGCTGAAGAAGAGAGAGAGCAGAAAAGACGCTTGTCAAAAGGGTCTGCCCTGGAATCACGAAATTATTTCAGCTCGTGTGTCTAGGACACTTTCTTGGTACCAGGCTCGTTGCACGGGCCACCTCACCAAGCTGACACACAACCTGCGAAGTGGGTGCTGGGTACTGGAGCTGAGTTGTCTGGGTTCAGATACAGCCCCTGCCACTTAATAGCTGGGTAACCTTGGGCAAATTCTCGCACCTCCCTAATTTCAGTTTCCCCGCGTGTCAAATAGTTACAATAACAGTACCCCCCTGGCAGGGCTGCTGTGACGATCAAATGAGTGAACTCATGGAAAGCCTCGAAACTGTACCTGGCTCCCAGGAAGCAGAATGGAAGCTGTTTTGCAAGTGGGGAAACTGAGGCTCTGAGAAGTTAGGCTTTTTTTTGCTCAAGGTGACCTGCTGTTTAAGAGACAGAGTTAGGATTTGACTGAAGCCAGTCTGGCTCCAGAGCTGCTTTTCTGGACCGTTACCCTCTGTGGCCTCCCGAGATGCTGGGGGTGGCCGTTTGGGAAGCCCCGAGGTGGCTCTGTGCTTGTGGGATGGGGAGGAAGAGGACGGGGGCAGAGGTGGGAGGTGGCTCCCGGGTCTCTCACTCCGACCAGTCACCCAGGCCCCCAGCGGCGCCTCCCCTGACTGGGTCCCGGGAGGCCCCGGTTTCCCTTGGTGCCAGGGGATTGTTTTCAGCTCTGTCTGGGCCCGCCTCCGGCTCGGCTCCGGGAGACGGCCGGGCGTCACACTCCCTCCTGTCTCCCCATTCTCGTCTGCGGGGTGGGGGCGGCCAGGATTCGAAAAGGCCCCAAAATAAATGGACCTCTTATCTGATCTCCCAGCCTGGCCTGTTATCTGATCATTACATAATGGCCAGGCCTGTGGCCTCTCCCGCTGACGGCATGGAGGAGGCGGCCGGGCGGCCCCAGCGATCCGGGAGGAACTGGGGTTCCTGGAAGTCTGAGGAGGGGGCAGGGAAAGTCCGGAGGGAAGGAGGAAGGCGCTGCGCTAATCTGCAGGCCAGACCCGGGTCATGTGGGGCGAGGTGAGGACGAGGTCCAGCCTGGTCAGCCATGTGTGGTATGACTCTGGCACCTCCCGCCTCTCCGGCCTCACTCTCCCCATCTGCATAGGAGGCGCGCAGACTAGGTAACAGCCAAGAAGCCTGTGTTCACTGATGGGGACAGGGGGAGGGTGGGAAGCTCCGAGGGGTTGGTGGGTCACAAAGGGGTGGGACAGCAGGAGATGGTGCCAGCCCTTGAGTCTCCTGGGGTGAGGGAGTCGCTGGCCAGAGACACCAGTCACCACCACCCCCACCTTTGACAATCAATGCTTCTCCAGTGACTGAAGTCAATCAAATAACTGTGACAAAAAGAACTACTGTGTACCGTCTCGGGCAGTCCTCTCAACAGCCTCTACGGGTCGTGGGTTCTGTCCTTGTCCTGTTCCAGACAAGGAGACTGAAGCTCCAAGGGGTGAAATTGCTCACTAAAGCCACACAGCTCGTGTTGGGCCTGAGATTCCAGCCCAGGTTGGCCTGGCTCCAGGGACCTTTGCTTTCGACCAAAATGCCACATTCCCCAGGCACTCTGGAGCCCCTGGCCCACAGGACCAGGCCAGGGTGAGGACTTACAAGGCCTCAGCCCCCATGGTGGCCACGTGTCCTCTTCCTGAACTTATCCTTCCCAAGCTGTTGCTGATGGATGATGTTGCATGGCCAACGGCGGCCATCTTGTGTCCTGCTTTGACCTCTGGGGGTCCTCAGGCCAAGCAGGCGGTGGAAAGGTGGGGACGGAGGCGAGTCGGGCAAAAGACAGCCCAGTAGCCTGCCATTCGGAAGAGGCCTCCCTGCCCCCTCCTCTGAGCTGGCGTCGGCTGGACGTGCGGCCAGTCCCTCCGCGCCCATCTTTGATCTCCAAGAAAACAGGAAGTGAGCGCGACAAGATGGAGACACAAACTTCCAAACAGTCTCCCCTTCTCTGTGCTCCTTCCCTCCTCCGGAGGCCCCTGCCCCGGCACATTCCTTAGGACGAGGTGTAGGGGCCTCATTTCCTCTTCCTCCTCTGTTGGGTCGGGGTGAAATTCCATTCCCTTCCCTCAGGACCTGCGTTTCCGGGCAGCCCGGTGGCGAGCTCAGCGGCCTCCTCTGGCAGCCGCCTTCCCAACCTGGGCCGCCCTTTTGGCTCACTCTGTCCCTTGGGGCCAGGAGACTCAACTCTCCTTGACCCATTCTTCTTGGCCTCCTTGAGACACAAGAGGAGAAGTTCTGACTCCTGATCTCAGCTCTCGCCTTCCTCTGGAGTGAACCAGCCTGGAAGCTTGGGGCCCGCACGTGTGGGCCCTGTCACACAGTTATGGTCACCAGATGATGCAGCAAATAAAAGTATAGGATGCCCAGTTGAATTTGAATTTCAGATAAACAATGGAGAAAAACTTAGTATAAGTATATCCCGTGCAATATTTGGGATATACTTATCCTTTAAAAAACTATTCATTTTTTACTTATTCAAAGTTAACTGGGTGTCCTGCATTTTATATGTCAGCCCTACACCTAGTAGCACTATGATCTCAGGCAAGAGATTTTTCCTTTCTGATCCTCAGTTTCTTCGTCTGTGGAAAGGATGTAATGATATCCACTTGGTAGGGTAACTGTGAAGATGCAGCAAATCCCTAAGTCAGTGCCAAGCACCTGGGAGACATTCAGAAAGTGGGAGTAATTGTCACCAACCTATTCTTACCTGATCTCTCCGGCTGTGCTTTCTCGACAGGTCTTGCAGAAACCATCCGTTGTGACCTACAGCCGGCGGACCCCAAGGTGACATATGCCACTAGCCAGGTTTCTGAGGGCTGTGTGGCTCAGGTCCCCAACACTAACCTTGAAGTCCACATCCTCTTCCTGGAGTTCCCAAGGGTGAGTGACCGATGGCACGGTTGGGTGGGGACCCCGAGGAAGGCCCGGGGCGATGGGATGAGGGGAGCCTTCCTGTGGCTGTCCCTGGAGTGATGGGCTTAGGCCTCACCACGGCCCTTGCCAGGAGGGTGACATGGGCATCTCACAGGGCCTATGAGAGGTGCTGTTTCTGGGGCCAGGATCAGGGCAATCTTCTGGATACGACCACAAGACCCAGGTGGGGAGGACTGGGTTTGGCCACGACCCAGTGGAGCAGTGGACCAGTCAGCTGCGGCTCACGCCCCTCCGTGGTGGGCCGTCACTGCTTCTCAGTGGACACAGCTGTGCTCTAGGCAGCTCTGACTGTGAGCAAGTGCTTCCCTCAGCGGATCCCAAATCTCCTGCCCTGAAATGTCCCCCATTGGACATCTGTGAGCTGGCCAGGCAGCCCCACAGAGAGAGTGATGCCACCTTGGGGACTCTTCTCCCCACAAGAACACTCCTGATGTCCACCATCAGTTTGTCTAAGGTCCCTCAATAATAATAACACATTGATTGAGTGCTTACTGTGTGCTAGGCCTACTAAGTGCCGGGAACTGATAAACATCGTACACATATTGAGCCTCTCAAGGGCCCATCTGTCAGGCTCTGTTAGGACCCGTACTTTTCAGAGGAGGAAACGGAGGCCTAGAGAGGTGAGGTCACATGCTCAGGGCCAGAGCTGACACCAGCTCCCCCGAGACTCCACTGGGCTGTCCCCTGGTGGGTCTCAGTGTTCAGGCCATGTCTGGGCTGGAGGCCACACCTGGCTGATGTGGCCTTGGGTCCTGACAGCAATTCAGTGGCGTCAGCTCAGAGTAAACTTAGGGACAAACTGCCTCGGGGACTGTTGGGTTGCCCGGCGTTTGTGCAGTGATAAGACGGCGCCCAGACCACCAATATCGCGGGGGGCCTGCTCCCCACCGCCCCGCCTGCCGCGAGGACTGTGGGCTTCGATAATCCCCAAAACCACAGATAGTGCCACACAAACGTTATGTGCTTTTTGGAGCCATTGTAATTTTTTTCAAGTTTGGTAATGATGTGGAAAATTAGATTGCCCTCTGTAAGTCCATTTTGTTCGTCCAGATGTTCAGGTCTCTGTGCCCCCTCCGGGTGACTGGGATCCCCCTAGCCTAATCACTCAACAGCAGGCCAGTCAGAGGAAGGCCCCCCGCCACGTGCCCAGGGCTATGGGAGACACACGTGTAGACAGACAGCCAGGGTCCAGGTGATTGGCACTTTCTCAGGGAGCACAGGGCAGGGGTACCCCAGCTGCTGTGAGATGAGGCAGGGCTTCCCGGAGGAAACGACAACACTAAGGATGACCGGGAGCTCACCAAGTGAAGGAGGTCGGGGGTGGGGAGGCAGAGGATGGAAAGGATGGAGGGAGCACAAGGCAGGGAAGTGGGCCGCGGTTGGGGTCGCGTGTGGTTGCTGCGGCAGGAGCTTACAGTTCACCTTGGGGCAGGGCTAGGGAGACGGAAAAGGCCTCATCGCCATGCTAAGGAGTTTGGTTTTTGTCCTGTTGGCAGTGACAGTCATTGGAGGATTTTTAGGGGGATGGCAGAGAGCCATTGTAACGCATGTCATCCTAGAGCTCATGACAACAGAATCTCCCTGTCACCCCCTGCCTCTTCTAGAGAATTCTGTGCATGGAGCATGTGCCTTTTAGTTCAAGGAGCCAGGCTGCAAGCTCCAGGACTGCCGGGCGTGTTTGTTTGAGGAGGTGGTGGAGAGAGAGCTCAGGTTCGGGAGACCGGGGCGCCAGTCCTGGATCTGTCACTGGCTGGCACTTCATTTAGTGCCAGGTGTGCAGACGGAGCTCCATCTCCCCACTCTCCAACAGACACCCATTTTCTGGGCTCAGGGACTCACCGAAGAGTCACAGGGTATGAGAATCTGGCCCAGGACCTGACATGTTACAAACAACTGTTGAATGTATGAATGAATGAATGAATGAATGAATGCACTGCTATATGACTTTGATGCAAAGGTTAAGAACATGGCCTCTGGAGCCAGACAGTCTTCCATTTGAACTTTGGCTCCCCCACCGGCAGCACCACCTTGGTTTTCCCATGGGAAACATGGAGATGAGAATGGTCCCCACCTTGCGGGGGGCTGTGAGAATCGAGTAGGGTGGTGGCGGTAAAGTGTGGAGCGCAGGCCTGCCCAGAGTGACTGCTCGATACACAGTAGCTATGCTGTTGTTATTGTCATGTCTCCTCTGTGAGCTCTGTGTCCCACCTGTAAATACACTCATTTTGCCCGGCTTGCTGTAGTTTACAGAACATCTTCACATAGGTCAACTGATTTGGTCCCCAAAGGTTATTGCTCCCAGGTCGCTGAGGCAGGGGCTGTGAACCCATTTCCAGAGGAGGCAGCCGAGGTCCAGCCTGACATTGCTGGGCCTCCTCCTGGAGGCTCCTGGCCTCCCTGCCCTGAGGGTGGAGTCTGTGGTCCCCCCAGGCCCTACTGCTGTGACACTGAAGGACCTGTGGTTTCTCTGGGAGGCACCTTCCTCTCCGGGCAGCCCCCAAGAATGGGGTCCATGCCTGACAGTCCCCTTAAGCGGTCCTCGCCAGATGCCTGCCCTGTGCCCGGCCTGTGATGGACATGGATGGTGCAGAGAGAAAGCAGCCCACTCCTGCCCTTGAGCCACCCCTAGACCAGGGGAGGCAGAGGTGGGCGTCAGCAGCCCTGGTATTGAGTGACGGAATTGACAATGTGGGGCAGTGGGTACAGGGGACTGTGGGTCCCAAGAAGATGAGCACTGACTGTGGAGGGAGGAGGGCATTAGGGAAATGGCTCCCAGTGTCTAGCCATACAGAGAGGGGGCCAAGGGCATTCCTGGCAGAGGGCACTGCTTGAGCACAGACCTCGAAGCAAAAACCATGAGCTGGCAGTGTTAGCGTGGATGGCAGCTGTCTCGGCAACCAGCCCAACCCCTCCCGACTTGTGGCCGCCTTCTTCAAACCCTGGCACAAAGAAACGGCTTTCCCGTCCACCCCTGCACAGCCTCTGATTCCTCAGATTTCCTGTGGGTGGGCGGCAGATGAGCTGTGGCAGCCAAGAGCCTCGGGGAAGAGAGGTTCAGGGGTGTGTGTGTGTGTGTGTGTGTGTGTTCGGGAGGTTTGCAGACAGACGAGGGGGCCACTGGGCAGGGGCTCTTTCTCGCTGGGTCCCCAAAGGGCAGGCCGGAGCCTGGATTCCGGGAGGGGGCCCAGGGTTACATCCTGACCCGCGGAGACAGGAAACCGGCCTGGTGTCTCAGCGATTCCCGTCAGGCCGCCTGCACTGATCTGCTCTCCTCCTAACAAACCCCAGGCAGCCAGGCCAGAGCTGGGGCAGCCGCTGATTCACCCCACTTCTGGGCAAACTCAAGGAGCTGACGATGCCCCACCCACCCCCAAGCAGACAAACCCACCGGCCTCTAGCCCTGACTCACTCCTGGCCAGAGGGGCAGGCAAGGCTGCTCAGGCAGAGGGAGAGCAGGAGGGGCCCTGGGCTTCCCCAGACCATCCTGGGAGGCTGTGAAGGCCTGTGGAAAGCAGTGCCATCCTCAGACGTGGACAAGTGGGGCCCCACATTTAGCGGCCCCTCTCTGGTCCAGTTCCAGTTACACCCCTCCCCCTGGGGTGGGGAATCTGCAGGGCTAAAGCGACATGGCCACCTGGAACCTGCGTGCCTCCCCCAGGGTGCCCTACTCCAGGCTTCTCTGCCAGAATGTGTTGAACCCCCTCCCATTGCTGCCCGGGGCTCTTTCTTGTCCGTCCTCTAGAGGGGGCACTGCATGGCTGCCATAGGCTCCCCTAGACCTGAAGGGTGTGCGAGGTGACTATCGGTGGGGGGTGGGCGCAGCAGCACTTGGGCATCCAGGCTGGGTTGTCCACACATGTACGTGTGAAGATGCGGGAGGTGAGCCGGGGGGCAGGGGCTGCCGTTTGTATTCTTGACCCAAGCTTTGTAGATCTTGGGGGCAGGCTTGGTGGAGGGGCATGAACTGGGGGTCAGACAGGCTGGGCAGGATTGCACCTGCTCTCTTAATGCTGTATGCCTATTGTCTAGCTCAGGGTCAGTCTGGGAATAAAAACCAGATGGATGGATGAATGGATGGATGGGGGGTTGGGTGGATGAGTGGATGGATAATGGAAGGAAGGGGAAATATACATGCATATAAGCATTTGCTGATCGGCCATCCCCAAGGGGTTAGTGGTGTCCCTTGCTGTTCATTGCTGGTTGTCTTGTTCTCTACCAAACTCCTGGAGGACAGAGCTGTGCCTTCTTCCTGTCCACCTTTGACAGCTCAGAAGCCCCAGGCTGGGCCCAGTGCTGGCCTCTCAGACAGGCAAATGAACTGGGGAGGTGGGGAGGACACGACTGACCGGGGGTCCTCAGCTGGGGAAAGTAGCGTGTCTCTCCAAGGGCTTCTGGGAGCCTGTGGCCACCTGGCTAGAGACCACGACTCCTAGATGCCAAACACTGGGACCCACAGGAGGCAGGATGGAGTCCAGGGCCACACGATACTAGAACATCATTGAGCTCCACTCCTCCCTGCACGGATGGAGGGACTGAGGCCCAGAGAGGGGTTGCCACCATGAGGTGCGGCTGAGGCGGGTCCCAGTTCCAGCTAACTGCTGCCCAGCTCTAATGCTAACCTCCCCAGCCCCCAAACCGCGGCACTCCTCTGGCTGAGGGGGCAAGGAGGGAAGTGGAGGTCGTGAAGGCCGATCTACTATGTATTTGGCTGGGCACTTTGCAGGTAGAATCTCACCAAATCTTCACAAGCCTATGAAGTGGGCAATTGTTCAGTCCATTTTTCAGATCAGGAAACTGAGGCTCCAGAGGGGAAGTAACGGGCCAGGGTCACAGGCTGATGACTGAGCCTGCATTTGAATTCGGGCCAGTCCAGCTTTGACCCCTTCCCCTGCCACCCTGCCTGTGTGTACCATCTGAGTCTGTTGAGGTGGACAGAGGGCCGGCTGGCTCCAATCTGGCCGGCTCCAGTCTAGCCCTAGGAGGGTGGGGGCTGCAGGCAGCCCCAAGGCTCCACTCAGAAGAATTGCTGGAAGCGACTTTCTATAAGTGGCTACTAGTGCTCAGGCCCTCCTCACTGAAATTCCCCCTTCCCGCCATCGACTGCTGGGCCAACAATGGCATCTGTGGGACACTGGCACAAAAATAGAAACACGGTCTCCCGCCTACCCGCTCAGGGAGGGGGCCGGGGCAGGCCCACGCTGGCCCAGGTTGCAGAGTGGGGCCGGCCTGCCCTCCTCGGCTAGGCTCCCGGAATTCCCAGGATGCCATTCAGAAGAGTGGGAGCTTGGAGGTGGGAGGGGAGGCAGGCCCCTCTCTCTGCCTCTGGGCTCCGGGATGGGAGGGAAGAGAGAAGTCAGTGTGTGTGTGAGTGACCGCGTCGATGAGTCAGGGCCACGGGATGGAAATGTTTGCTGTGGAAACCCTGACTGGCTTTTTCTGGTAACCAGCTGGCCTTCAGCTCGGCCCGGGAGCCCAGAGACCCCAGAGAGGCCAGCCCTCAGCCTCCCTGAGTTTCCACACTGCTCTCTTGCTGTGTGGCCCTGGCCCCTGACTGCCCATCTTTGGGCGTCAGCCTCCACCCCCCTCCAAGCCCCCAACTCTACAGGGATGGACGTGGTGACAACTGAGTGGTGGGTTTGATGTGAGAGCTCTGGCAGAAGAGCTGAGTGTCATGACAAACGTCACAAAGTTCCAGTCTCCTAATGCCCTCGCCCTAGGCATGACCCAACTCTGACCTTTACTTCTCTTTTTTAACTTCCTTTATCCAGAGCCCCATCTGGTATTAGTTCCCAACCCTGTCCTACCCCCGTTTCACAGATGGGGAAACTGAGGCACAGAGGAACAGGAACAGTTGCAGGCAGCAGAAATGGATGTTCACAGGGCTCTTTCCTCCCAGCTCAGGGGCTGCGCTCCCAGCTGCTGCTTCTGTCACCCGCAGCACTCTCGGCCTGTGGGTGTCCAAGGGGCAGGGGACCTGTCACCTTGCCTACTGCAGCCTGTGGCATCTCCAAACCATGGGGCCCATCTATTCGCCGTGTACAAGGCCCCAAAGTTCACTCCTCTAGGTGAGGACAGACAGATGGGGCTGGACATTGATGCACTGTGGGGCTATCTGGTCGAGCAGCAGGGTTGAGAGGGAGGACACAGCCTAGGTGAGCTGGCCACAGGCCGAGAGGCTGTGGGCCCCACTCTGGCACCAGGGTCCTGAGTACCGGGTACCTGGCTTTGCCACTCCCCAGCAGTTCCCTCCCGGAGCCTCAGTTGCCACATCTGTAAGATGGGAGAACACTTGACCCTGCTTCAGTGAGAGTGCCTGCACCGTGCTCAGCACAGGGCCAGCCACGGGTCGGGTGGACCCATGTGAAATGACTGATATTCAACTCTTGTTTTTCAACAGCTTTATGGAGATAAAATTTGCCCATTTAAAGTGTACAATTGAGTGATTTTTAGTAAATACGTGGAGTTGTGCAATCATATTCAATTGTTCAGCTCAGGAGGCTGGGTGGGTCCATTCTCCAAGATTCTGGCAGCTCGGCTCTGCCTGGGCCTTTCCTGACACCACGGAGGGGGGGTCTCCCTTCGCTTTGGCTGATTTCAAGCAGTGATCACAATCCTGGAACAAAATGTCAGTTCTGACATTTTGATTTGTATTTCATGTTTTACCAAAATAGGATATTAAATGCAGCATTTAATTCTTAAAGTGTTTAGAACACGTAATCTTTTTAAAAATCGGTGAAACAAGATATTTCAAAAACCGAAAGTTATAAACCCGTTAGAAAACATTAATTAATCAAAAATGTGAATTTACGCAAACATAAATTTGAAACATATCTTATCATTCTACTATAAATTAGCATAAAAAGAATTATTCAAAAATAAGCAACCTAGACAGCTCACTAAAATGGAAAAAAGTGAGGCAGGTCCAGTGGCGTAGTGGTTAAGTTCACGTGCTCTGCCTCAGCAGCCCAGGGTTTACCAGTTTGGATGCCTGGCACAGACCTAGCACTGCTTATCAAGCCATGCTGTGGCAGGTGACCCACATATAAAATAGAGGAAGATGGGCACAGACATTAGCTCAGTGCCAATCTTCCTCAGCAAAAAAAGAGGAGTGTTGGAGGCAGATGTTGGCTCAGGGCTAATATTTCTCAAAAAAAATAAATAAATAAAATGAAAAAAGTTATTTGGGAAACATGGAAAACAATAATATTATTTGTTCTTTTTTGTTTTAAAGAGCAAACTTACAAACAAGGAGTGATTATGGTGTCATTACTGAGTAACGGAAATATTTCTGAGCAGATTTTTCCAGTAGCTGAAACTCTCTGACTCTTTGACATCAGTTAGGGAAATGGCCAGAAGATAATTAGAAGTGAAATCTGAAAACTTTCCACTTATGTCTTCATCTTGAAACGGCTCTCTCCTTCTTGATAAGTTTGAGGAGATTTCGGGGGTTGGCTTTTTGTCTCTTTGTGGAGACTGCCAGCTTTTGAGAGCAGCTGGAGTTTGTGTTCCAGGAATGTGTTTCTCTTCTTCCTTGTCCCCGTGAGTCCGTGGCCGGGCTTCTGACGCATGTACCTGTGTCAGTTTCAGAAGTCACCTATTCCCACTCCACTGGCTCAGAAAATCTTTGAGGAGAGTAGAGGTTGTTCTTTCAACACAGGCTTTGTTTTGTGGATCGCTGTGTTCTTTTTCTTTTCGGGAATAAGGAGAGGAAGTGGTCCACATCCCAGCTCCGTACTTACTTGCTGTATGATCTTGGGCAAATGACTTCACCTCCCTGTGCCTTGTTTCCTCATCTGTAAGTGAGAGTAATAACAGTGCCTACCTCTCAGGGTTGTTGTTGTGAGGATTAAATGAGTCAATATGTAAAGCATTTAGGACAGTCCTGGCACATAGTAAGCACTATATAGGTGTTGGGTCTTATTATTGTTGTTGTTATGAAAGCACTTTAAATGCGTACACCATGATCAATTAAAATTTTTAAAGCAGTAGGTACCTTTCAAGGCATAAATGATTTCAACTTCACATTCTTATAAAATATCAAAATAGTGGTATTAACAAAAATATGGGTATTTTAGTAGTTTAAAATAGTAAGGTAAACAGGAATACTGCAAACTGGGGAGGGGTTGATGCCTTGATGCTGCTGCATAGGGACAGAGAAAGAGCACAAGCTGCTCTCTAAGTCACAGACGCTCACAGACTCGGCACACAGCAGGTGCACAACAGAAATAACAAACCTTGATCAACTACAGGATGAAGTTGAGGCTCCTCACATTTAAAAAAGAAAATCTCTTTCGATTTGCTAGGAATAATCTCCTTCATTCATTCAGCAAATATTTTCTGAGCACCTTCTAAGGGCCAGGCACTGTGCCGGGTCCTGGCAGGCAGGGGCAGACAAGCCGAGCAGGGAGAGTGGAGTGGGAGCTGATGGTAAATGAGTCGTCACTACGGGTCTGGGTGGCACAGCCTATGCAAATCTGACTGGTGTGTGTGTGTCTCTCTCTCCTGCCCCGACCCCAGGAGGTGTCAGAGCTGAAGCTGACTATCCAAAGGTCCAAGCAAAATGGCACCGGGCCCCGAGAGGCGCTCCTGGTCCTCAGCACGAACAAGACTGCCTTTGTGCAGTTGGAGGCCCCAGGAATCCCACTCCGCCTGGCTTACGTGAGTGTGTTATCTCCAACCCCAAGCTTGAGGCACTGGCCGTGCACCTGCTCTCCGTCTCTGTGGGCCGGGGTCTCCCGCCCTAGCAGCCCTGCTTCCCTTTTTCATTCTGACATTATTTCCCAGGGCCCTGACTGGTGAATCCCACGGGGCCCTGACAGAGAGAACCCAAAGGACAGCAGGGTCTGGGGTAAAAAGTCCAAATCCAGAGGTGGGAGTCAGGTTGATGGGCAGCCCTGGCCAACTCCAATCCTCTCACCAGCCTCAGTTTTCCCATCTATCCAGTGGGAGAATTGGATTCGATGACATCCCATAAAAAACCTTGTCACCGTCTTTGAAAAAGTTATAAGACACCTATTTGAAAATATTGAAGTATAGAGGAAAAGAGTCAGGAGGAAACCTAATGACGTGCTAAGAGTAGTTATGGCTGGGAAGTGGGATTAGGAGAGACATTTATTTTGTTCTTTATACTTTGCTGAATTTGCAAGATTTGCTCTAATTAACACAGCCTGCATTGGAGAAAAATAATTTTTTAAAAACTGAAGTTTTAAGTGTCAGAACATCCACCAGAGAGAGAAGGTCAGCTGGCTGGGACCCACAGGGAGGGTGCTCAGGGCTGGAGGAGGTGGGATGGACTGTCCGCATGGCCTCCTCCACAGGGAAGGCCCTGGGAGGTGCCCCTAGATGTGAGCCGCTGTTGTTTACAGCCAGAGAAAGCAGCTGGAAGAGGGGAGAGAGTTAGAGCCTGTGGGGGAGAGCAAAGATAACACGGGGGAGAAAGACACAGAAAGAAAAATGGAAATAGAAAGAGGCGTGCTGTTCTGGGAAGGACAGACAGACACTCAGAGAAACACAGGGACAGAGGAGAGGCAGAAGAGCTGGGGACCCGAAGACAGAGCGCAGGCCAGGGCTGCCGAGGAGACAGGCCCAGAGACAGAGAGATACTGGGGGTGGGGGTGGGGGATGAAGAATCCAGAGCGGCAGCAGAGCCAGTACAGAGACAGACGGGGGATGCCCAGCTTGAAAGCCCCCAGGAAGAAGGTGGGGAGCGAGAAAAGCCAGCCAATCTGGAGGGCCGAGCTGGGCTGACCCCATGCGGTACATCCCTCTGCTCACATGGGGGAAATGGAGGCCCCGTGGAGGGTCAGGCCTTGCCAGGGCTCCTCCTGCCCCTCGACTCTTCCCCACCTCCCGCTTCCCGTTCCTGGACCTCCAGCGGTTCAGGCCCTGGGTGACGCAGGGAACATGAAACACTGGGGCCAGCGGGAAGGTGGCAGCAGCCAGGGGCTCTGGCAGCGGCCTCGCCTTCCTCCCGGGACTGAGAATACCCTTGCAGCTTCTGGAGTGGGAATGCGACTGCCACCGGAGGGGCCACAGCCCGGCTGGGGGCGCGGGCCTCTGTGCCGGACCCAGCAAAGTGCCAGGCGATCCATTGACAAACTCCTTGCCCTTCTATCCCTGTGACATCCACGTTTTACAGACCATGACCCTGAGGGTCAGACTGGGTAAAGCCCACCCTCTACCTCTCCAGCTCTAAACCGCTGCCCCAGCCCTTCCATCACAGGGCTGGGTTCCTCACCCAGGCACTCATCACTTTGCCCCCTTGTTAAAGCCCTGCTCCATTCTAGGTGGACCATTCTATGGTATCTTGCCTACTGCCACTCTCAGGCAGTCCCCTTTAGTGTCTAGCCTGAAGCCCTTATGCTGCTACTGCTTCAGCACAGTGCCCCTGGCTTTGGAGACACAAACTGAGTCTGTGGCCCCAACAGCTTCCTCTGAATCCTTTGGCTTCAACAGAGCACCTCCACCAGGAAGTCTTCCCTGTTTCCCTTCCCCCAGCCCACCAGGGTCTCTCCTGAGGCATGGGCAGTGTAGGCAGCGAGGTGCTGGGGCCACCAAGATTCCTGTCCCTGTCCATCCAGGGGACCTGTCTCGCTCCTTTGTTTCTTATTAAACACTATCCTCTGTCTTCTGTTGTTTCAGACTCGATGCATGGTTAGTTTCTGGATGGTGAGGTCCCCCAGGGTGGGGACCATTCTTGTTCATCTTTCATTCATTCTTTTATTCATCCATTTCTTCTTTCCTCCCTTCCTCCCTTCCCAGGTGCAGGACGCACCTGCCATGTGCCAGGTGTCATGGTGAAGCTGACATGCCAGGATCCCTAGTACTGGGCCCGCCACAAAGTCAGACAAATATTTCTCACTGCCTGCTATGCAGGGATGGGCAAGGCGACGTTGTTCCTCACAGACCCTTAGAGTGTGGGGGGAGCAGACAGTAGCCACATGACGTCATAAGTGTGGGTTGGATGAGGATGACTTTGGAGGGGTGGAGGTGATGTTTGGACAGGTGGATGAACATGGGTGTGCGTCCATTCGGCCCCCCAGTTATGGAAAGGAAGTGTGGCAGATCTGGCTCTGGGGGGGCCCTAGTTAGGGGGCTCTGGGCTGACTTCAGATCCACCAGCCTCAGCCTTCTCAGCCCTGGCCTTCTCTGCTCAGCCAACTGGCTGCCTCCCCAAATTACCCCCTGACCTCCTGCGTGGTGCAGAGGGGATTCAGGCCCCAGAACAGCACCCTGAGCTTCCACTTGTCTCCCCAGGACCCCCAACTGATCATCTTCCAAGAGACCCCAAGAGTCAACACCACTGGGCTGCCGCCTTTCACCAGCAAGAGGCACCTCTTCAAGTGGGCAAATACAAACGGCTCCATTGCCTCTGCCGCCGAGCTGAAGGACCCCGAAAGCATCCTCCTCCGTCTGGACCAAGGTCAGCTTCCCGGCAACCTCTCTGGGCTCAGGACTCAGCTCTGGAGGAATCTGAATTCCTCTGGCCCATTCCTCAGATGTGGACACTAAGGCTCCAAGAGGGGACGTGACATGCCCCAGGTCACACATAGCAAGTCAGTGCTCTATTGGGACAGTACCCACTCCTGTACCAGATGTTAGATTGAACCGTGTGAAACTGCTGCTGTTTGTCTGGCTTTTGACCTACAAAAACAGCGCTTTGCTATTACTTATTGTGCACCTACTATGCCAGGCATTTGGGGACTCAGTGGGGACAGACTCAGGCCCTGCCCTCCCAGAGCAGACCCTGTGGTGGGGAGGTGACAGATAAGTAGATTCCATAACTTCAGGTCGTGGTGCATGCTATAAAAGTGGGGTGGTGTGCTGCTGCAACCAGCTGCACCCTGACACGTGCAGGGGGTTCATCCCTTCTCTTAACCCCGTGTGGACAGATGAGGAAACAGAGGCCAGGGGATTTGCCCTGGGTCGCTCGGCAGTAAGTGGTGGAGGGGAGATTTGAACCCGGGTCTTCTGATGCCCCCACTTTGCTGCTCCACCCTGCCCGCCCAGCTATACTGTGGGTGAGGATGGGCCTCTGTGTTAGGTGTCAGGCTGCTCTGGGAGGGGACTGAGGTGTGCTTGTCTCCACAGCCCAGACGGCACCGTCCTCCTGCAGTCTCGAACCCCACGTGGACATGGGCCACACGCTCGAATGGCAGCCGCGCGCCGGGGCCTCGGTCCGGGGCTGCCGCTTGGAAGGTGTGGCTGGCCACAAGGAGGCTCACATCCTGAGGGTCCTACCGGGCCGCGATACCGGGTAGGGGAGCCTGCCCCCGCCCGGGCCCCGCCCCTTTTAAGGCCCACCCCGTCCCGCCTCTGGCCAGGTAGAGTCTAGTCACCCCCGCCTGTCTCTGGGCGGCCCCCAGCATGGGCCCAAGCCCCACCCATTCCCATGCTCATCCCGCAGACCTGCATCGGACCCGGTAACAGCGCAGCCGCTGCCCGCCAGACTCCAGGCCTTGTCCTCACCCGGCCAGCCCCAGTCAGACCCCGCCCAAGCCCGCGTTCCCGCCTGCGCTGACTTGGGGGGTCTGTCTCCCCGCAGGCGCCGTACAGTGACCGTGAAGGTGGAGCTGAGCTGCGCTTCGGGGGATCCCGACGCCGTGCTCATCCTGCAGGGTCCACCCTACGTGTCCTGGCTCATCGACGCCAATCACAACATACAGTTCTGGGTGAGTCTTGCTTTGTGACCCAGACAGCCCCGCGCAGGCCTCGCCAAGGCTCCCCAAAGAGACAGCCCGAACTCCCAGCCCCGGCACCGCAGCCCTGAGCCTTTACAGACCGTGATCCCTCTGCCCCCACCCTCTTCCTCTGTGCCCAACCTTTTCTTCCTTTAGACCTTGCACGTAGATGGCACCTCCTCCAAGAAACCTTCCATCACCCCCTAGGGAGGCCCCTCACCCAGCCCACAGGGTCAGCGAAGGTTCCTGGGGAGGTGAACCCCAAGCTAAGTTGAAGGACAAACAGGAGCCAGTAGGTGAGGGGAGGTGGCCCAGGCAGAGGAAACAGCAGGAGCAAAGGAGAGAACAGTGAGACGTGGCAGAACCCTGGCTGGCCTGTGGGTCCAGGCCAAGCTGTGCACCCCCTGACTGTGTCTCTGGCTCCCTGCTCTGCGTCTCTCCCTGTCATTAGGCCACTGGTGAATACACCTTGAAGATCTTTCCAGAGAGGAACATCCCTGGCTACATGCTCCCAGATACTCTCGAAGGCCTGCTGGAGGAGGCCCAGAGGCTCAACGCCAGCGTCGTAGCGTCCTATGTGGAGCTCCCTCTGGCCAGTGACGTCTCTCTGCAGGCCCACAGCTGCGGTGAGCACCCGGCTTCCTTCCCTTGCCCTCCTCCCTTTCCTTGCTTTCTCTTTGGATTGGTTGCCACTCTGCACCACTGTGTGAGCCAGGCAAGCTGCTTCAGCCTCTCTAGCCCCATTTTCCTCATGTGCAGCACGGGGACAAGGAGTAGCTAGCTATAGAAGTGCTTTGTGCCTAGTGCACAGGGTGCATGCATTGACTGTCCGCCGGCCTGCCTCTGCTGCCCTGCAGGCGGTGGGCTGCAGACCTCACCCATGCCAGTCCAGACCACCTCTCCCAAGAGCTGCAACCAGGAGCTGCTCATGTCCCTGATCCAGCCAACATGCTCCGATGACGTCATGACTCTGGTACTCAAGAAAGAGCTCATCTCGGTAAGGGAAGCCCTACCCCTCCGGTCCAGCTGACATGGGCAGCTGGTCCCTCCTCTAGCCTGAGAATCTTGAGGTCCTAACCCAGGCAGGAGAACCAGGCACATCCCTCCACAAGCCTCACTTCTCCCATTTGTAAAATGGGGTTGATAATGGTACCTACCCCATTTTACAAGTGAGAGAACTGAGGCTTAATGGTGAGAATTAATTAAGGTCTGACACGCCAAGCCAGATGTGGTGCACGGTAAGTACTCCATCAATAGATGCTGGGTAGTCGTCATTATTAATTCTAAATGCAGGCTGAGCTGCATGGCCCCTCAACAGTGTAGCTACGCAATGTGATCTCTGCCTGGTTGAAGAGCAAGGATCTTACTATAAAAATAGCACAGCCTTCTTAAACATGTGGAAAAATTAGAAAAGAAGAAAATTGTAATCTCCCTACCCAAAGACAGTGGCTACCAACATTTTGGTGCGTTTCTTTCTGGAATGTTTTCTTTGTATATTTCTTACATGGTGTAATCATACTGGACGCACTTGTCTCTCCCCTGCTATATTCATTTAACATATTTTTAGAACTTGGCCATATCGACTTAATATTGTGTTTAATTATTAATATATTATATATATAATATAATATAATATATGTAATATTATATATCAATATATAATTATGTGTAATATATAATTACTAATATATTATAACAATTATTAACAATTTATTATTCCATTATATTGACATGCCATAGTTAACTCCTTCTCCCTTGGTAGACATTTAGTTTGTTTCCAATTCTGTAATATTATAAATGTGCAGAAAATGTCACTGTGCACAAAGCTTATCTTTACATAGGATTATTTTCTTAGGATAGATTTCCACATTAGTGAGATTGCTAGGCCAAAATGAGTGAACATTCTGGAAGTTTTGATACATGCTGACAACCCGCTTTCCAAAAGCTGATTTCAGTTTTCACTGCTGACTTTTGAGAGCACTTTGACTCTCTCTCTCCAGACTATTATTTTTGTTGAAATAAACCTTTGCCCATGTGGGAGGTGGCATGTGGTATTCGATTCTTGTTTGAATTGATACTTCTTTGATTATTAGTGAGTGTGGGCCTGGCGCCACATGACTGATGAGAACCTAAGGCTCTTTATCACTGTGGCTTGGTTTTTCTCTTGATGATTTTTATAAGCTTTTTACATAAAAAAAATATTGGCCCCTGGTCCATCATTCTTTTTGAAATCATTTTTCCCGGTTTGGTTTTAAATTTTGGCTATAGCAGTTTTTAACTCTTCAGACATTTTCAAACATCGGGCCATCCTAGCCTCCCATCTTCCCCTTTATGACTTCTTCTGGCCTTTCTGAGGCAGGAAATCTCTCTGCCAGAGCCTTGAACTCATCCATGTTCTCAGAGATTTTTCAGAATGACATTGAACTCCGTGGTTAGGTCCTTGTGGAAGTTTTGGGGAGTGTGGGGAATAGGGACCTATATGAAGCTCCATCTTTATTGTCTGAAAAGAGAACTAAGCCACAGCATGAAGGATAGTATGATGCCATTTGTTAAAAATACAAAAAAAAACAAGATCCACACATTTTCTCTGAGTACGTATGTCTGTGTAGAAGAAAACACAAAGAAAAGTGTCTGAAGAGAGTCACCGCAGACGCAGAGCACACTGCCCTCTCATCGACTTATGAAATGTGGTCAGGGTGCAGAGTTTGGGTTCCAGGCCCATGTGTCACTGGGGCTTCACCCAGAGCCATTTGTATTTGATGAGCTGATGTCTCCTAGGGTGGCCTGGGGAGCAGCAGGCCGGAGGGGCCTTCTGGAGGAGCGGATGTGAGCTCCCTGGGCTCAAGTGGGACCCCCAACAGTCCACTCAACTCTAAGTCTCTGAGATTCTTTGACCCTAAGAGTGTGACCGAGAAATTCTAAGATTTGATTATTCTAAGACAGGAGACGGCAAACGATGGCCCGCTGCCTGTTTTTGTAAATAAAGTTTTATTGGCACACAGTCACACCCATTCATTTACATATTATCTATGGCTGCCTTCGGGCTATGAAGGCAAAGTTGGGTAATTACAACAGAGACCACATGATCCAAAAAGCCTAACCTATTTACTGTGTGGCCCTTTAGAGGAAGTTTGCTGATCCCAGGTCTAAGAGTCTGTGGTGCGAGATCGGATTATGCTGGTGGGGTCTGCATGCCCCCGGGACTGTGAGCGATGATTACATGTAGCACTCCAGTGAATGTTTTTAATTTTAATAGTTCTCTATTTATTTTATTGGAAGAAATATAATAAGTAGCAAATCAAACTAATGATGTCACAGTTCTTATTGTTTAGGATAAGGCTAGGTATGAAAGTGAGTCAAGTTCAGGAAAAGTATTGTCTTAAATGGTATATGATGACGAGATCTACCAAAACTGGAGAGAGGAGGGGAGGAATGGCTGTGATTTGGGACCCCTGGGTTATGGGCTGTCCTTGGTGCTGGGGTGTGACAGACAGGCCCCAGGGAGCCTGGTGCCTCTTGACAGTGCCCCCCCCCCCAACCCTGGCCTAGAGTCTGCATTGCACCGTCATGAGCCTGACCTTCTGGGACTCCAGCTGCCAGGCTGACGACAGAGATGACCACCTTGTCTTGCGCAGCACCTACTCCAACTGTGGCATGAAAGTGACGGAAAATGTGGTCAGTAATGAGGTAAGAGCTGGGGCGGGAGAGGTATCAGGGCAGCTGAGCTGGTGCCTCCGTGATCTTCCAGGCTGAGGGGCATTTGGGAGAATGAAGTGTGGGGCTCAGTAGGAAGACAAGACAAGCTTAGCCGTTGGTTGGCTCAGTCTCCCCATCCGTAAAATGGGTGTGTTGGGTGGGATACTCTCTGGGGTCCTCTTTGGCTTGACCAGCTCCTTGGCTCTGTTCCTGCAGGTGGTCGTCAACCTCCTGTCAAGCTCATCACCACAGCGGGTGAGATGGATGGTCATCATGCCAACTCTTCTGGTCTGGGGTCCTAAGGCCCCTTCCTGTTCTGGGAGGGAGCAGGCCTCAGGAAACTCAGGCCCTGATCCTGGCAAGCCATGTGTTTCCAGCGTGCCTCAGTCTCCCCTTCTGTGCAATGGGAGCAGTACTGTTTAGAGTCACATTCTCAGCCTCTCAAATCAGAGGGCTCTAGTGTATACCAGCTGTGCGGCCTTGGGCAAGTCACGTAAGCTTTCTGGGCCTCAAGGTCATGTCTGGGCCCCAAGGCCAAGCAGCGGCATAAGAAAGGACCCCCCTCTCCACATGGGGGTGCTTATGAGCAGTCACTGAGATGAGGCATGGAAAGTACTTCACACAGGCCTGGTGCGGAGTGAGTTCTTGATAAACATTAGTTTTTTTAAAAACAGTGAGGATGAGGGTGGGTCAGCTCCTCTGGGCCACTCCTCCTGCTCCCACCCCCACGCCTCTCCTTCCTGGCTGGGCGCCACCCAGACTGACCAAGTCTCCTCCGCTCTCCCACAGAAAAAGGTGCACTGCGTCAACACGGAGAGCCTCTCGCTCCGGCTGGGCCTCTACCTCAGCCCGCACTTCGCCCAGGCCTCCAACACCATCGAGCTGGGCCAGCAGGGCTTTGTGCAGGTATGGACCTGAACTTCCTGGAGGAAGGAGGGAGCCAGTACGGGGCATGGTGGAGGGGAGAAAGAGATGACTGGAATGTCACCTCCTCCTCCTCATTTGCTCCAGGCAGGTCTATGGCTTTCCTTCGACTGTCAGGGCTTAGGGGCCAGAATTCTAGAATGAATCTAGCTTATTTCACAAGAGCAGGTAGGGTGGAGGGTTAAGAGGAAGTGACCGTGCCTCGTCCCCTTCCCTACCCACGCAGGTGAGCGTGTCCCCAATGATCCCTGAGCATGTGTTCCAGCTGGAGAGCTGCCATCTGGATTTGGGGCCTGACACCGACACCGTGGAACTCATCCAGAGCCACACAGCCAAGGGCAGCTGTGTGAGCATGCTGTCCCCGAGCCCTGAGGGTGACATGCGCTTCAGCTTCCTCCTCCGTGGCTACATGGTGCCCACACCCAAGACTGGCACCCTCAGCTGCACCATAGCCCTGTATCCCAGGATTTGGTCCCAGGTGAGTGGGGGCCTGAGCCAGGCCCAGCTTCAGGGGGGGGGTCCTGGGTCTGAGGTTTCCAGGAAAGGATGTGACAGCTGAGGAGGATGTGGGACCAGCTGGCAAAGGGCAGAGCCACAGTCAGGCATGTGGTCCAGGGGCACTCTTCCTCCTGCCCTACAGCCTTCTCATGGCTTTGCCGTGTCTTGGACATTGGTAGAATATGCAGCTGCAACTGTCCATCCATCCACCCACCCACCATCCCCCCAAGTCATCAATCCATCTTCCCATTATCCCACCCAGTCATCCATCCACCCACCCATCCATCCATCCAGTAGCATGATTGCCAATGTAATCTCAGTAAACTGGAGCCCTCAGGTAAGAGGCTTAAGACAGGACACAACATTCTGATTTTCTGCATTTACTGGTCACAACGCCTCCTCATCTGGTGGATCTCCATTCTCAGGCACTCAGCCCTAGACACACTCACAGTCACCCCCAGGCCCTTGCACATAGAAGAGTCTCCGGGATTAAAAACCTCTCTGGTTGTATGAACCTAAAGCAGCATCTGGGGCCACTCCTGAGTGGGCCTTTCCCTGCGGCCACAGAGAGCCTGGGTTTCCGGGCTGACTTGGCTCATCTCTCCAAGGCATTCACGAGGGTCACGGCTGTAGTGTCACGGCTGTAGCATCACGGCTGTAGCACAGAGTACCGCCACAATCCTCGTGGGAGTCAGGGGTCTCCCAGGAACTCCCAGGAAATGTTCCAGTAGCAGCCAAAGATTGTCCACCCAACACCCTCCCACAGCATGGATGTCCCAGGACTTGTCCAAGGGCTCCCAGCTAGAAAATGGTAGGATCAGATTCAAAGCCAAGGCTGCAGGGTGGGCTGTGACAGGCCAGGGTCACAGAGCCAGGGAGTAAGCCTGGAAGCTTCCTCTTGAAGTCGGTGTCACACACCGCTCTCTCTTCCTCCCCCAGGAAGTCCAGAAGACTGTCTCCATGCGCCTGAGCATCGTCAGCCCTGGCATGCCTGGTGAGCTCTCTGGTCTCTCTGGGGTGCCAGCGGCTGAGGTCAGAGTGGGACATGATGGACGGCCCAGAGGGATGGGGCCTAGGCACACGGCAGGGAGGACCCCAGAGAGACCAGCCCTGGAGGAGGGGAGACAGGAGAAGGGCTTCCCAGCAGCCTAGAAGAGGACCACAGCTGCATCTTCTAGATGGCCAGCCTGTGCTCTGAGCACCCTGTGGGACGGGATCCCAGGCCTTTGGCTGTTCTCCATCCTCATAATTGCTGGTTGACCGTGCTGGGGGGATCGGGCCACCAGAGGCAGGTCTGGATGGGATAGAAGACACCTGGGGGTGGTGCTGGTCTCACCGTCCTTAAGGCCCCCAGTGTGGAAGATGCTCCTTCAGCCTAGCACCCTCTGGCTTCTTTGTTAGTTCCCCCTGGGCCCTGGCCCCACCCAAGCAGCCGAGTCTGTGACACTGGGAGTAGAGGAGGGGTGGCACCCCCCTCTTGCCACCTGACCTGGGCCAGGATAGAGCCCCTACTTCCAGCCCATGACCGAGAGAGCAGGGCTAATAACCCCACTGCATGGATGGGAACTCAGAGGCCCAAAGTGAGGCTCCCTCGCCTGTAGTCACATAGGAATCAGGAGTGTGGAGGGAATGAGGCTTGAGAAAACCCAAGGGCTGAGCTGAAGAGCGCTCAGAGGTGCTCTGGCCCATCCCTACCATGGCAGAGGGCTCAGAGAGGGGCAGGGACTGACCTCACAGCGGGGCGCAACAGGCTCTGGACTCCCAGGCCCCACACACTCCCTGCCCAGATTACACCATCCGTCCTCCCTAAAACGCATCTCTATCAGCCTTGGGAGGCAGAGGCACGGTCCAAAAGGCCTAGGTGGATGGTCACAGAGGTCACAGCTTCATGCCAGGCATGGGTGTCATGAACCATTTGCTAGATGAGGAGACTGAGGTTCAGAGAAGTCAGGGTCAGTGGCTGAGCTGGGACTGGCACCAATACTTGTGCTCGTGGCCAGTACAACAGTAGGGGGACGGCACGGGGGCCAGGGAGGAGGCAGCAGTGCTGACTGCAGCCCTCTTTCCCTCGGTTGCACAGGCAAAACCCTGGTCCTGCCCGCCGTGCTGGGCATCACCTTTGGCGCCTTCCTCATCGGGGCCCTGCTCACCGCCGCACTGTGGTACATCTACTTGCACACGCGTGAGTATCCCAGGCCCCCACAATGAGTGCTCAGGACCCCTCCACCACCACCTGGGGGAGTCTGGCGAAGCCTCTGAGGGAGTGGGGAGCCCTGGCCGGGGCCCTGACCTCCGCCCCTGCCCCCAGGTCCCCCAAGCAAGCGGGAGCCCGTGGTGGCGGTGGCTGCTCCGGCCTCCTCAGAGAGCAGTAGCACCAACCACAGCATCGGGAGCACCCAGAGCACCCCCTGCTCCACCAGCAGCATGGCGTAGCGCCCGGCCCGGAGCCCTGGGGGCCACCCAGCGAGCCCTCGCCCAGCAGGAGAGACTGAGCAGCCACCAGCTGGGAACCACTGGTCATGAACTCACCCTGGGATCCCAACCCCTCCACTCGACCAAGGATGGACCATGCCCTCTGCGCCCATCCCTCCTGCCTCCCTCTCAGAGGCCTGCTGCCAGCGGGGGCACCAGCTTGGAACACCTTGGGGTCCCCCCACCCCACCCTACAGAACCTTCAAACCCAGTGGGCCTGGGGGACAGCAGCCAAGGACCATGGAGAGAGAGACCACTGCCCTGTATGTCCACCTTGTTGTAGAAAGCCAAGACCCTGTTACTTTAACCTGGATCCAGCACTCCGTGACCTGCTCTGGGTGGGAGGTGAGAACTTGAAACAGACTCTGCCCAGCCCACCCAGGCCGACAGTGCCTCCTCCGTGGGAACGGAAGGTCAGCCCAGAGCCACCGGGACCTGGCCCCAGCAGCATCCACACTTGGACTGGCACAACTTTGGCAGGGGAAACAGAAGCCTAGTGTTGCCCAGCCTGGGAACCAGGGAGCTCAGCTCCTTCCTGCCATTGCCACATGGAGACCCCCTCCCTCCCAGCCCATCAGGAAGGCAGCCGATGGGGAGTGGCCAGGCTGCCTCTCCTGGGCCCACCCCTATATATTAATCATCAATAAATCAGACCATGAAACCAGTGCTGGGCTGGGCTGGGAGAGGGGGAAGGGCAGCTAAAACGGGTGGGGGGTGACAACCCTGGGTTGGAATCCTGGACCTGCCACTTATTGACTGTGTGACCATGGGCAGTCCCATGGCTTCTGCAAGCCAGCCAGTTCTCTCATCTGTAAAATGGGTAAGATAATCCTCCATCATGAGGTCTCTGCAAGGAGGTCTGCAAAACAGTGCCTGGCCTGTGGTCAACGGACCGCAGTCCAGTCTTCTCATGTCAGAGACAGGCAGCCCGAGGCTCAGAGGGAGGGAGGGGGAGGGCCTTGTTCCAGGCCACCCAGCCCCGGCGCCGACACAATCCACTTCCTGTAGCAGCTGCAGCCCCCATCCCCCTATGGTCTGCTGAGGGAGCCAGAGGTCGAGTCAATCAAATGTTTTGCCTTTTCTTTTTTTAAAAAAATTAAAGGCTTTAATTGACTCTAGCCACCCTCTGTCCCCAGAGAGCCCCAAGCAAGGGCCCCTTTTTTTTTCCCGGAAGGCCACTGGGAGGAGAAAACCTATCAACCAGCACCTGGCAGGATCCCAGGCCCAGCCAGGCAGCTCACACAAGAAGCTGGCCCGAAGCAGGCGGGGTGGGAGGGAGACAGGCTGGATCGTCAGGCCTGCTACGACAGGGAAGGGAGGAGAGGCCAAAGGCACCCCAGGCTCAGAGACAGGATGTCCAATCTCAGCCTCCCACCCTCAGCCCTCTATTCCACCGCCCAGAGCCCAGGTCCCTGGACCAGTCTAGACAGAATCAGGAAAGCAGGAAACAGAAGGCACTTAATACAGGAGTTCGTGGAGAGACACAGGGCAGGCGTGGGAGGCCCCACCTCCAGCCCCACTGCCTCGGCTACTGGGACAGGGAGGGCTCCAGCAGCTTCAGGACACCCCCGACCAGGTGCAGGCTGCCTGTGACCAGCACGTGGATGGCAGCAGCCTCCCGCAGTACACTGGCCCCGCTGCCTGCCACGGGGTGGGCGAGGAGGCCCCGTGGGGGACTGGGTGGCTGAAAGACAGGGTCCCGGCCTTGGCTGATCCACTGCAAGGCGTGGGAGATGCAGCTGAAGACAAGGGAGCTGGTGCTGACGGGGTGGGGCAGGCAGGGTGCCAGCAGCAAGGACGCGGGCCCACCAGGCTCCGGGCCGGGGCTGTTCCAGAGGTTCGGGCTGGCCTGCTCCTTGTCCAGGCGGCTCCAGTGCTGCTGGTGTGTGAGGCAGCGGAGCAGCACCTGGTCCAGTGTCACTGTGAAGTTCTGCTGGTCTGCGGGGCACAGGGACAGGCACTTCAGTGACAGGGGTGGGAGTGGGGTTGGAGAGGGGCAGGCATGCTGTGAGCACCTGCTTAATGCCGGGCCCTTTATATGCATCATCAGTCCTTACAACTCATGCTGTGAGGAAACGGAGGCTCAGAAAAGTTCAGTGACATGCCCACCATCACACAGCAGGTGAGAAGCAGAGCCAGGTATTTTTGACAACACTTTTTTTTTTTGGTGAAAAAGATTCACCCTGAGCTAATATCTGTGCCAATCTTCCTCTATTTTGTATGTGGGTCACTACCACAGGGTGGCCACCAATGAGTGGTGTAGGTCCATGCCCGGGAACCGAACCTGGGCTGCCAAAGTGGAGTGCACGGACCTTAACCACTAGGCCACAGGGCCAGCCCCTATTTCAATTTTTTTTCAATATGACCCACAGTAAAAAATACATTTTACAATGGCAACCCAGTACTCACATACGTGTGTATACATGTGCCTGGAACAGAATCTTCATAAAACAGTAGCCATCCTCACTTCAAGCAAGGCACATTGCTATTTCCTAGTCTATTCTATTTTGTTTAAAATAAAAAATGCTGGTTGAGACCCACTAAATTGATTTCAAGAACCATCAGTGGGTTGTAACTTGCATTTTGAAAAATGTTTTCCCCAATAATTCTTGTTTAGTATTGCAGGCGCAGAGTGCAAGAGTCAAAACGTACCTAAAGGCATCTATACAGAAAAACAAATCTCGCTCCCACCCGACCTCCAGTTCAGAAGCCCCTGTCACCAACAGAGCAGCCCTCCTCGGGGTCCTCTGCCCCCTGCCCACCCCCAGGGACCATGCCTGTCACTTCTCACCTTCGTTACCCGTGGGTGACACCTCTGTCAGGTTGGGGCAGAAAACAGCATAGTGAAACTGGCAGGGCTACAAGGCCAAGGGGAAGAGCTTGGTGTCAGACCCTGAGAGGGTGCCCCTCACCCCGACTTCCCCACAGCACCCCCAAGCCCATCTCTGGAAATGGCCCGCACGCTGGCTGAACTGGAGGCACGCTGCATAAACCCAGCCACAGCACTCCAGTGGCCTCCTTTCGGCCTCAATATACCCTCCCGACCTGTGGCGTGGGCAGCAAAGGCAGGGCCCACTGTACAGAGCGGGAAACAGAGGCTTGGGGGTGGGGGCACTTGCTTAAGGTCACTCAGCTACCGAGCGGCCCCAAATCCAGGCTGGGGAAAAGGCTTTGTCTGCACAAGTGAGAGAAGCTCTGGATGTGAAGAACCACCCCAGCCTCTGGGTCTGTGAAATGGGAGATGATCCCCAGGAGCCACATCAGCCCTGACCCCCTAGAGCAGCCTCAGTTTCCCCAGCAGCGAAGGGCCCCTACAGGCTTTGAGCCCAGTGACTCCTGAAACTGAACATGGCAGCATGGAGAACGAGGGCAGTGACCTGTGACGAGGCTTCCCACGCGCCCGGATGCTTTTACACCGAATCCTCAGTACAATTCAGGGGAGGGGGTAATTTTACAGTTGAGGAGACGGAGGTTCAGGGATGAACGCACAGGTGGGGTCCACACAGCCAGAACCAGGGCTGGGCTGCCTGCCGCCCGCCCCCGGGGCAGCCCCTCACCTGCAACAGCTTCAGCAGGGCCGCGGGATCCCGGTCCCCAGTAGAGTTGAAGAGCAAGACACGCACCTCGGGCCCACTGCGAGAGGGGCGAGGGGGGGGGTCACAGAGCCGCAACTCCCACCCTGTCTCCGCGGGCCCCGCCCCATCCTTCCTCCAGGAACAGCCCCTGCCACCCCCCCACTATGGTCCAGTCCCGCCCAGTCCCAGCGTCCCACCCCTCTCCTCTGGCCCAGTTCTGACGGGGTCAGAGTCCCGTGGCCCCGCCCCTCCCCTCTGGCGCAGTTCCGACCGGGTTGGGTCAGACCCCGCGGCCCCGCCCCCGGGCCCGTCGGGGGCCCAGCTCACCTGTCCGGTCTGTCACGGCCGCGCAGCGCCTGGCGGAACCAGCGCACGCAGGCCTGCACGCTGCTGACGGTGTGCGCGCCGTCCAGGTACCAGGTGAGCGGCCCGCGCCGCAGCACCTGCGTCCGGCCAGGCCACTCCGTGTCCCGAAGCCCTGGGAAGGGGGTAAGGCAGCCTTCCAGCGGCCGCCGAGAGGGAGCCCTCCCAGATCCGCTCCCACCCCAGTCCTCAACTCGCACGCACCCCTCGTCCCCCGCCCCCAAAGCTGGGGCAAGCTCTTCAGCTGCCTCATCTGGTGGAATCTTCCAGGCAGCCCCGAGAGGGGGCTGCTACTTTATCTTTTTCCCATGTTACAGACGGGGAGCCCTTAGCTCAGAGAGATTAGGTCACAGAGCAAGTGAGTACCGGTGCCGGGACGTGATCCAGGATCTACCTGGCCCCAGGACTGTGTCATGGCCCTGACACAGGACCTGACACACAGTGGGCACACTGGAACCATCTGCTGAGGGGGTTTAACAGCCATGGGCACCTACTATGTGCTGAATGCTTTGGGGGAAGGAAGAAGCCTGACAATATCACCATCCTCAAGAACATTATGGTCAGGGCCGGCCCGATGGCACAGTGGTTAAGTTTGTGTGCTCCGCTTTGGCAGCCCAGGGTTTGCAGGTTCCGATCCTGGGTGCAGACCTAGCACCATTCATCAAGCCATGCTGTGGCAGGCATCCCACATATAAAATAGAGAAAGATGGGCACGGATGTGAGCTCAGGGCCCATCTTCCTCAGCAAAAAGAGGAGGATTGGTAGATGTTAGCTCAGGGCTAATCTTCCTCAAAAAAAAAAAAAAAAGAACATTATGGTCTTATGATGATAAGGATGACAGTAACAGCAGCTACCACTGGCTGGATGCTTCATCCCACCCACCAAGCTCTGGCTCAGTCTCTTAGAGACAACACCTTACCGTATGTCCTATCATCTCATTTGGCAGGTGGGGAAACTGAGGCTCAGAGAGAGTTCATGAAGCTTGCTGACTTCGGAGTCCTTTCTCTTGGGCCCCACCTCAAACTGTCCCCACTCCTCAAACAGGAAAATGAAAGAAATAGTTGGGTGGAAAGGCCCAACTCACCGTGCTGCATGTGGGACGTGGGCTGGAAGACGGGTGCCAGGGGCAGCTGCCACTGGAGACTCGGCTGGGATGCCTTCAGCTCCCCGATGCCTGGGGGACAAGGGAGGGGGAGGGAGGGCTGTGTGGGACTGAGTGTGCTCAGAACCCTCAGCAGCCGACTCCACATGCCCCTGCCCACCTGCCCGCCCACTCACCTGCCCACTTACCCTGGTGGTCCTTTTGCTGCAGCCAGCAGCGGGCCAGCTGCAAGGCCAAGGCGGCATTGGACCGCTGGTGCTCTCCCTCCAGGCCAAGGGTCAGCGGTGGCCCCCCTTCCTCCAGGGCTTCCAGAGGTGGGCACAGGTAGAGAGGACACTGCAGAGGAGATGGGCAGCAGCTGGGCAGGGGAGCTGCTGCTGCCACCTTGGCCAGGGGGCCCTCCCTGATGCCGTCAGCCCTTCCATCTTTCCCCACCAACCAGAACCCTCCAAGCCCTGCTCAGAGAACCGAGATGTGACCCGGCTGGACGAGCAGCTGGCTCTCACTGCAGAGATGAGCAAACTGAGGCCCGAAAAGGTAAAGTGCCTCCCCAGTCAGCCGCCCCGACCCAGCACATCCAATCAGACTCACTGAGATCTGCTGCGCACGGTCCCTCAGCACTGCCAGGGGCCCGTCAGGCTGAAGCACGGTGAAGGCAGGGACACCACGCTGTGGAGGACAGGGAGAGTCAGACAGGGGCTGCCTCCCATTTCTGGCCCTCACATCCCTGGGTCTGGGTGGCCCACTTAGCCTTCCCCCCATAGGACCTATGGGAACCACTTGATGGGGAGACTAAGGCCAGAGAGGGGCTCAACTTGCTCCAGTCACACAAAGAACCGAGACAGGAATTCAGACCCCACTGCTGCCCAGACTTCTCCTGAGTCAGGAGACAATTGACCCTGCCTCAGCCCCACTTCTCTGAGCCTTGAGGGCCAGGCCCAGGCTGTCCATGTACCTCCCCTCCCCAGGGCTGCCTGGTCACCTTGAAGATGCCCCCTTTCTGCCATGCAATCTTCTCCACCGTGTCCCCCAAAAGGCTGGTGTGGTCGAGGCCAAGAGAGGAGACCCCACACACCACAGGCTTCCTGTGGAAGACGAAAGAGCCATGACGCCCCCCCCATCCAGGCAGCCTGGGTTCCTGGCCACCATCCCTCTCCCCAGGCAGCTGCCCTCACCTGATGATGTTGGTGCAGTCGTAAGCCCCACCGATGCCCACCTCCACCACTGCCAGGTCCACCTGCAGAAGACCAGAGGGCATGGCAGGGGGCACAGGGGTGCCTGGATGCCTCCCAGGAACCCCTCAGCCTGCTGCAATTCCCCTCCCCAAGGCCTCAGAAACAGGGTTCCGGGCAGTGGGCATGCACCTTCTCTTGGAGGAAGATGTGGAAGGCCATGAGCGTGAGGAAGCGGAAGTAGGCGGGCATGGAGACACAGCTGCTGCCATCCTGTGGACAGGAACATGTCAGAGGCTGCCTTCAGCTCTGCTCTGAGGAGACGGGGTCCTGGCATGTGCAGCTCCCCCTACCCTGGCCACCCACTAGCCCTCCTGCACTGACACCTTGGTCTCCTGCAGCCGGTGGTAGAGGCGCCAGAAGTGGTTGGTGAAGAGCTCAGGGCTGATGGGCTGCCCGTTGATGCGGATCCGCTCGCGCACCTGCACCAGGTGGGGAGAGCTGCCGGGAGACCTGGGGTCATGAGGACTCCCTTCCCGAGCCCTCCTGGCCTCCCCCCAGCCCACAGTCAGACCTGTCTTCTGGAAAGACAAACCTGACCATGTCGCTGCCCTGCGAAAACGCTTCTGTGTCTTCCCCGTGCCCTCAGAGGAGTCCCAGTCCTGACCTCAGCCTCCCAGGCCCCCGCAGGGCTGATGCCACTGGCCTCTGTGCCTCAGCTCTCCCGTGCCCCTCTCTAGTTCCCTGCGCCTCAGCCCTCTGGACTGTTTTCAGTTCCTCCAGCCCCCCAACCCCTTTCTGTCGCCAGCCCTGGCACCTGCCCTTCCCCCCCACCACATGCTTGCTCCACAGGTCTCAGCTGAGATAGCCCCTCCTGCAGAAAGGAGGACAAAGGACCCCTCCTCCCGGGCTGGTCAGGCATGTTCTCCAGGCTCCAGCAGCCTGCTGTGCTGTCCCCATCTCCCACCCTGCCAACCTCTGCCCCGCTAATGTCTGTCTTGCAGCCCTCAAGGGCAAGGCCCCTGCTGCCATGTTCAAGCTGCCTCCCTGGGCTGGCCCACGAGGCCACAGGGGCCCAAGTCGAAGGCTGGGTTTTTAACCAAAAAATTATTTTAGAAGAGAGTGTTGGCTTATATTTGAAACCTCAAAGTCCCTCTCGTATGATGACTCTTCCTCTCCATTTCTTTATTTTGAACAAAGACCTGTTTAGAGAAAACATATTGGCCTGAAATGCCCTCAGTCAGCTGGTTTCAGATGCTTACAGAGGTCACTTGATGGAACTGGTAAAATAAAAGGAGGCAAAAATCTTAAATGCCCCAACCCTAAGGACCGAATCCTGAGCAATTAGCCATCACGTTAATCCCACTGCTCTACCTGTGACAGGCTTAGGAGAGGCACATACAGCCCAAGGAGGAGGGACCGGTGTCTACCCCCAGCCTCCAGTCCCCTGGTGAGTTTAGATGCCTGAGAGCAACCAGGAGGGGGCGCTGCCTTGAGGGCAAAGCAGCAGCTGCACTGGCAGAGCGTGACTCCCTTCCTTCTGCCCACTCGGGAGGGAGGCCTGAACATGGACATTATAAACTACCCTTATTGGTTAATCCTTACAAGGCAGGTTTTCTGCTCCTTATTGCAAAGATGACCTAACTGATAAATATTTCTATGTGATTTAAAAACTGTATATGGAATTTAAGTTAATAAAAATTATCTGGGGGCCGGCCCGGTGGCGCAGCGGTTAAGTCCGCACATTCCGCTTTGGCGTACCGGGGTTCGCCGGTTTGGATCCCAGGTGCGGACATGGCACCACTTAGTAAAAGCCATGCTGTGGTACGCGTCCCACATATAAAGTAGAGGAAGATGGGCACGGATGTTAGCTCAGGCCCAGTCTTCCTCAGCAAAAAGAGGAGGATTGGCAGCAGTTAGCTCAGGGCTAATCTTCCTCAAAAAAAAAAAATATCTGACCATTCCATCTAGGTATTTAGTTTATACATTTAAGTTGCTGCCCCTCTCCTCAGTTTTTTTTCATTATGAAAATTAAAGAGTGCTATAAACTTGGGCCAATATGGTAAGTGCTAATTAAATGTTTGTTGAATGAATAAATACTGGGCAGAAAGACATGCAGCTGAGTTCCTGGGAGGTGAGCCTGGCCCTGAGGTGCTGGCTGGTTCCACAGCCCCCTAAAGAACTAGGAGACACCTCATCCCTCTGCACCACAGTACCTAAAGAATCCGGTCTTCAAGCCATAGCTTCGGAGGATTCGTTCAGTGAAGGCACAGGTGGAGCCCTAGAAAGAAAAGGTCTTGTCTGGGCAGGCCCCACCCCACCACCCCACCACGTGGACACCCTACCCCTGGGTCCTGTTGCTCACCTTCCCCTTGGTCCCGGTGACATGAATGATGTTCAGCTGGTCCAAGTCCTCCAACTGGGACAGACAGACAAGGTCCCCAACTCAGCCCCAGGACTCACAGATAGCAGTGCCCGTGGTCACAGGCCCCGCCCACCTTACCTGTAGCCCACTGCGTGCCAAGAACAGCTCCATGGCTTCCAGCTGTGTCTGAGGGTCACCCCGCTGGCGCTTCACCTGCTCCAGGTAGCTGGCGTTGGTCTGGAGGGTGTTGAGTGTGCGCACAGCATCCTGGCAAGCACAGTCCCCGGGTAGCAGGTTAAAGCTTACTACGGGTCCATAGGAACAGAGGCACGCAGTGCACCAGTAGCCAGGCCAGGGCACCAGGCCTGCCATGTTGCCCCAGCCTAGAGGTTAGGCACCGGTGAGAAAGAAGTGGCATCTTTCCAACTCTGGCAGAGATGGCAGCCTGGGGCAGTTCAGCCCTACCCAGGGAGTGCCAGGCAAAGCAGGAGCATGACTAACAGGACTCGCCTTGCTTCCTGTTTGGGCTTCCCAGGGCCTCTGCCTTCATTCCCTCCAGTGGGGTCCACCACTATATCGGGCCCCTACTGGGGTGAGAACCACAGAAGCCAGGGGTCTTAGAACTGGAGGAATTAGAACTAGGAATTCCTGGAGGCTTCCATGCCCAACCTGAGGATTGGGGCTCCATATTCTGACCCAGAGAAGAGCTGCTTGGAGCAACCAGATAAGGCAGAGAAGGAGGCCGGGAAGGAGGAAGGGTGTGCCCGGGGTCACCCAGCCAGGAAGGCAGGTAAGTACAGCCTCAGAAGAGAACACAGTGGGAGTGAGGGTGGGGTTGCTGTTTATTTCACCTCGGAGGCTCAATAGCTGGTTGGAGGCCCCACTCACATCAAACTGGTATCACCTGCCTGGCTGGCATCAGGTTCTGGTCTCTGGCAACTGTCCTCAGGCACAGAGCCAGGAGGAAACTTTCTGTTTTCCAGATTCTTGCCTCCCCCACTTCCCCCGATTCCCGCCTGCCCCCTAATTCCAGGCACTTGGATCTCTATCTCCTGAATCCTGGAGACTCCAACCCCAGATCTACACCCCTGGATCTCTCAAGTCTGAACTGCTGAGTCCCTTTCCTCTCCCATCCCTACGTCCCAACTGCTGGTTCCGACTCCGGAGACACTGAAACTCCAGAACTCCAGCTGAGCCACTGGACCTCTTGGTCCTGTCACCGGGCGCCCCTTCCCACTCTGTAACGCGGGACACTTCAGCCTCAGAATTCCCAGATCCCCCAGCCTGAGCCCAACTTCCTGGTCCCTGTCCCCACCCTCGGACTGCAGGAAGTCCCCGCCCCCCGAGTCCCCCAGTCCCAGGCTCCGGATCCCCTCTCAGCTGGCGAAGCCCGGATGCTGTGTGGCTCAGGCCCGGCCCACGTGTCATCGCGCGACAGCCCGCCGGATACCTGATACTCCATGCCGGGCTCCTGCGGCGCGGGCCACGCGCTCAACCCTCGTCGCGCGCCGAAGCGGGTCGTTGCACTGAGCGGAGAAACCGCAGCCAGGAGGAAAGCCGAGCGCAAGTGGCTGCGTGCCCGCGACATAGTCGCGGCGCGGGCGTAGCTACGCTAAGTCCGGGCCGGAGAGGTCCCGCCCCGACGCGCCCCGCCCCGACGCGCCCCCGCCTCCCGCCAATCAGCGCCACCTAAGAAGCCCACCGGGACCAATAAGAATCCGCGGGAAGCCATCCTTGTGAGGGGCAGTCCTGGGCCCGGCGGAGGGCTTCGCCCATGTTTTTGAGGGGCACGCTCCTCGGGGCGTCCTCTGCTTTAGAGGAACACGCACTCCTGGCGTGATCCTCCTCCCAAGGACCCGGCCGCGCCCCCAAAAATAGCCAGTCTCAGTCAGCAACCCTCAAGCTCTGCTCCGGGCCAGAACCAGCTCCGAGCCGGGATAGAATGACGGACACCAGACACCTTATGGAGGTCACTGAATCTCGGCCCCGAAATATCCCGACTCAACGCAAAGACCGCAGGCTGTGGAGATGCAGCCTCCGCCCTCACGAATTGGCAGTCCGATTGCTGGGCAATAGACCCCAAACCAGGCACCTGGGCAGCCTGGGAAGGCTTCCTGGGAGAAGCGACATCTTGGCTGAGGCCTTGGGGATGGGAGGAGAGGTTTCCAGGCAAAGGGCAGAAACAATATATGAAAAGCAAAAGGTTGGACAGAGAGAAGGAACTAGGCACGGCGAGAGAACTGCATTTCCACCTGCTTGGGCCTGGTTGTCCTGGAGTGCCAGGATGCCAGATCTAGCAGGACCTTGTAGACTGATTTGAAAAAAAAAAAATATTGAATTAAATTTGGATGACAATAAAATGGTTTTCAAGAGGGATGACAAGATCAGATTTGCCCCTTGGAAGATTTGCTGTGTGGAGAATTGATTGGAGAGCCAGCTGGGGAGGGGGCAGTAATCTATGCTACCTGTGGGTGAGGAGGACCTCCATTTTTCCTGGAGTTTTCAGAACTTTTTCCTGTCTATGACCTTCTTGGCCCCAACTGCTAGCACAGAAAAAGCAGCATAGAGATTCCCTTTTTACCGCTGAGGTCCAGAAAGTCGTGTGTGCTGGGAAGAGGGGGGAAGTCGCTGCAAAGAACCCTCGAGGGAAGTTCCCACAGATAAAGGCAATCTTTCAAACAACTGATGGGGTTTCTGTCCCTCCCTCCCTCTTTCCTGCAGGCATTGGGGGTAAATGTTCATCAGAGATTGTTTGATTTTGAAATAAGCAAATGTGTTGAGAAGAATCCATCACTGCTGGACTTCAGCTCCTCACATCACTGATGGGGTGTCCCACCCCACTGCCGTGGGGGATAGAGATGTCCTTCCCGCTCTTGGTTCCCTCTTTTTTTTAAATCACCGAAACTTCCTCTATACACTTACATGTTTATAATTTAATAACTGCAAAAAAAAAAATGATCATAACGAAGCTCTAAATGTTTTTATTTTTCCTCCTTTGGTAACCCTTATTGACTGCCAGGCATGTGTCCCACAGTTTTCTATGCTCATGAAATCACAGATACATCTAGACATCCATAGGGCCTTGTCGTTGCAGATGACAGTATTTTCTGCATCTTAATTTTCTTACTCACCAATAAGCTTATAGAGATCCCTCTATGACATTTCTTTAGCAAACAGTTAAGTAGCACTTCTCTGGGCCAGACACTGTTCTAAACACTTTGCACATAGTTGCTCACTTAATCATCGCAACCCTATGAAACAGGTACTAATATTGTCATCCTTCACAGGTAAGGAAACTGAGACACAAAGGAGCAAAAGGACATGCCCAAGTCACAAAAATCAAGATTTGAACTCCAGTCCCTGCGTCCGTATTCCTAGCCTCTGTACCTCCCTCCTGCCCCTCCCCGTGGGGGACGCGGTGCTGCTAACTCAGAGGCAGTGGCAGTACCGCAATGCGTCCCCTCCTGGCTGCTGAAGGGCATACGCTACGTTCAGTGTTTTGCCGCTATGGAAGGCATGCACGCCAGGGGCTTTTATTTCTGCAGGTGAGATCGCACAGAAGGGTCCAGGGGTGTCTGTATTCCACAAACTGCCTCACTCATCCTTGGCCCATTTTTCTAGTGTCTGTTTGCCCCCTTCTTGATAACTGTAAAACCACCTCGGGTGTCATAGTTGTTACTGCTCAGTTCTGTCCCCTATATGGCAAGTATTTTTTCTCCATCTACATTGGTGACCTCAGTTGATTCAGATGTAACAGGGGCCATGCAGCTCTGGGCCGGTCCTCCAAGAATGAGATCCCAGGGAAATGAGATCCCAGGAGGGAGACCCCCTCCTCTGGTGTAAGGTGGAAAACCCAAGTTGCCTACATCCCTGAATCTTAACTGATTTCTTTCCTTTTGCCCCAAGCAAAGCAGTCCGTGTCAGTCCTCCCCTATGGCCTGTTACAGGGCTTCTCTAGAATAGACGCGGAAGGCAAGGAACGGCACAGAAAATTCCAGGGATCCTATCTGGTATCATCCCAGTTGTGCAGGAAATTGTAAGTGGTGACTTGTGCCTGGGCAAAGCCACCCCAGTGGCCTTGGGCAGGTCACCTGTTCCCTGGACTTCTGCTTCCTCCACGGTCTCCGAGGACAATTTTCATAGCCAGTGACATCAGGAAATTTGTAGTCACACATTTAAGGTTCGGTGGGGGGAGGGAGTAAAATAGATTTATCTTCTTTTCCTTATTCAGACTCTCCCTTACTTTTTATTTTGTTTTTAAATTCTAATCTTTTTTGGATGGATGATACATCATATCATTCAAATAACCAGAGGTACTAAAAGGTTTACAGTGAAAACCTTTCCTCCTACCCCTGGTCCCAGCATCCCAATTACCCTCCCCTAAAAGTAATCAAACTTATGTTTCCTGTGACCTTTCCAGAGATATTTACGAGCATATACAAATATACATAGATTTACCTTTTTACTCAAAGATAGTGACAGACCACGTACACGATTCTGTATCGTGCTTTTTCCACATATATTTATATCCTGGACCTTGCTCTAGACTGTGTCAGTACATAAGAGCTGCCCATTGGCTAATTTGTTTTTTCGAAACCTCACGGTACTCTTTGGTGTGGAAGTACTACTGTGTACGTGGCCAGTCTCCTACCAATGGATGTTTAGGTTTCCGATATTTTGCCATCACAAGCGGTGTTGCATTGGGCAACATTTTCCCTTGATCATTTCTTGCATGAGGGAGCCTGTCTGGTGGATAAATTCCAAGAGGCACAACTGCCAGGTCAAAGGCAATTTGCATTTGACACTTTCATACATATTGCCACATCATCCCCCAGAGGGGCAGGGCCTGTTTCCACCCCCGCAGGGCATCAGCCAGGCGTTTCCTCACCAACACAGGCAGTTAGCCAACTCGGATCCTTGCCAGTTGCAAAGGTGGAAAAATGGATTCTCAGGGTAGTTATCATTTGCATTTATTTTATTTGAAGGAAGCTGAGCAGTTTATGTTTAAAAGCCATTTCTATTTCCTTTATGGTCTACTCACCTCCTTTGTATCATTGCTTTTTATTTGAAAAGTCACAGATGTTCGTAAAAGGAAATAGAGAAACATGTAAAAGAGAAAATCAGAGGCACCTTCATTGCACACCTGGAGAACCACTGTTGGCCTTTCGGTGACACCATGAAGGCATTCTCCTTCTCCAGGAAGAACAATAGAAATAAAGCTATTGTTTCTGTCTGGACAGAAAGAAAAAAGACAAGAATGAAGGAAAACTGGCAGGTGGGCCAGCGTGCACGCACTGAAGGCAGATCTGCAGGTGTGTGAGGACGGTGAGTGAGGGGCCGAGGGATTCCGCCCTCCCAAAGGGAAGGGATGTCATTCATCCATCCATTCACTCACTCATTCATTTGATGAGAAATTGTCTCTGTGCCAGACCTGGGCTGGGTGCTGGGGACACTGGGTTCTGGGGACACTGTGGAGAACAAATGACAAAGTTCTGCTCAGGGAGCACCCTGTCCAAGGAGGGAGAGGGCAGTAAAGAAGGAAACACAAAGGAATATACATATTTGCAAACCCTGATCAGAGCCACCCTCACTGCTGTAGAGGCAGGAGACTGAGGCCCAGAGAGGGACAGAGACAGCTTGGGATCACACAGCAAGTCAGCAAAGACACCATGCTAGGCCCCAGGGCGGGCTTTCTAAACTCAGGTCTGCCTGAGTCACTGCCCCCTCTCTTGCCCCACCATGTCCTCAGGATTAATAAAGCCCGCCAGCCCCCTGTGGCCAGGCCCCTGGCCACTTCCTGCCTCATCCACCACTGCAGGGCACTCTCCCTGCAGCTGGCAAGGATGTCAGGAACCGGCCTTGGCCTCTCCCACCTCTGAACCTTTGCTCATATTTCCCTCTGCCTGAAACACCTTCCTTGTGTTTTTCTTTGCTTTTTTGGGTGGACTGCTTTTAGCTAACATTTATTAAGCATCTATCCCTGTACTTGGCATTGCGCTCTCTTCATCCTCACGCCAATTATGTGAATTAGAGATTATCCCCATTTTACAGGGGGCAAAATGGAGGCTCGCAGAGGGTAAGCAGCTCACCCAGGGTGACACAGCCAACATGTGGCAGAACCAAGATTCAAACCCCAATTTGCTGACTTTTAAATCTGCCGCTACTCACCACTTCCTCTCTGGTCACCCTGGCTCTCTGCTGTCCATGCGCTGTGTGTCCTTGGCCAATCTGCTCCCCGTCTCTGATCCTGTCTGACTCTCAGTCTCCTCCTTAGCTAGTAGGGCGAGGGTTGAAATGATTTCATAATTTCTGGGGATGTCTAGGGGGAT